ACATGTGTGTGTAAATATACCAAGATCATGTGACACTTAAATAAAGTCCACCTGTGTGCAATCTAATTATGTGACTTCTGAAGGTAATTGGTTGCACCAGATCTTATTTAGGTGCTTCCTAGCAAAGGGGGTGAATACATATGCACCACCATTTTTCCATAATTTATTTTTAAGAAATTTTTGAAAAGTTATTTTTTTCAGTTCACTTCACCAATTTGGACTATTTTCTGTATGTCCATTACATGAAATACATTTCAATTACAGGTTGTAATGCAACAAAATAGGAAAAACGCAAAGGGGGATGAATACTTTTGCCAGGCACTGTATATTTAAATATCTTGCTACTGCTTGATTAAAGAACAGCCTATTGACCGAACAGTCGACTAAATAGGGTCAGACCTACATACCACAGACAGTAATTATAAGGGGGCAATGCTGTTGTATGCCTGGCCTAAAAGTCATAGTGAGGGGTATTTGGGGAATATTTCAGTGACCAGGTTTGGCGATAATCTGCGGCTCCCTAGGCTGACAAATAGTGAGGAATGATGCTGTCTGTCTGTGTAGCAACAGGTTGTAGTGTGTTCTACTGTCTATTCCTACTAGAGTACATGTATTGTGGGATTGGATGGAAAATGGCTGCTGGTCACTGTTTGGCTTGGTTGACATTTTAAGCTGGCTGCACTGCACAACTCTTGCGCAAATGGTCTCTGGATGTATACTTAGGCAATAGTTTGTAAGTAGGCCAAGTAGCCCTAGGCTTGCTTGATGCATCATAGATCTGAGTTTCTGTAGGAAAAGTGATGAGCAAAGATATCCCTGGCTGTTTATGCCTTTCACATGCTGTTTTATCTGTTTGCGTATCCTTGCCCATGGAACAGATTGTTTGCGCAAGGAAATCTTTTTAATCAGGAAGGAGATTGTCAAATCAAATGTTGGTCACATGCCGAATACAACCGGAGTATTTACAGTGAAATGCTTTCTTACGAGCCCATTCCCAACAATGCAGAGTTAAAAAGTAAGACAAATATTTGCTAAATTTAAAAAGGAACACAATAAAAATAACGAGGCTATGTACAAGGAGTACCAGTACCGAGTCAATGTGCAGGGGTACTAGGTAATACAGTAACCCATACCCACATGTACATAGTGACTAGGCATTCAGGATATATAATAAACAGAGCAGCAGCGTAGTATGTGTGGGTGGAGTCTAGTGACCGCAAGGGAGTCGGTGCAAAACAATAAAAAATAAATAAATCATAAAGGGGGTCAATGTAAATGGTCTGGGTAGCCGTTTGATAAACTGTTCAGCAGTCTTATGGCTTGGGGGTAGAAGCTGTTCAGGTGCCTTTTGGTCTCAGACTTGGCGCTCCGGTACCGCTTGATGTGCGGTCGCAGAGCGAACAGTCTGACTTGGGTGGCTGGAGTCTTTGACAATTTCTGGGACGTTGTCGGTCAGAAGAGGAAAGATTTGACAAAGTCACTGATGCGTTTCCTGGAGTTGGCCTTAATGGACCATTGATTAACACTAAGAGTTGTGATAGACAATCAAGAATGGTAATGAGTTATTATGTCTACACTGAAATTCTTCTTTCTCTTGCCATTGATTCTTTGTATCACTGTATGTTTGAAATCAAGTTACATGTCATGATTGATTGTTTTGTGTCTGAACTAAAACAAACGTGTTTGTGTGTGTGTGTGGCAGCAGATAAGTAAGAACCGTGACAATCTTGTCTTGTCCTTTCTTCTGTGTGTGTGTGAGCGGGGTAGCGAGACTGCTGCTCCCGTTGGCCTGGTCTCACTGCCGCTGTCTTGGGCCTGGTTCCCTGGAACTGCCCGGGACCTCTGCTGAGGACACACCGCTGTCCAACGGAAGGGCCTAGAGCACACTGGCAGGAGGAGCAGTAGGCCAGGCAGAGGAAAGCACATAATTGGCTCTGCTAAGGCCCTGTGTAATCCTGAAGAGGCTTAATTTAGCGCAGGGGTCGGCAACAGGTGGCCCGTGGGCCAAAACTGGCCCGCAAATGTTTATTTTTTAAATATTTTTGGGCCGCTAGTTTTTTTTTGCCAAAGAAATATGTATTTTATATTTATTTTGTACAATTTTAGTTTTTGGTAAAAAATGACAAATCACCAGGAATTCAGCTAAAACATAATTTCATTTAGGAAATCTGTTCAACTATTCCCAACCCAAAAGAAAAAAGAGCCATACAGGTAGCCTAGCGGTTAAGGGCATTGGGCTTGTAACCGAAAGGTTGGTGGTTCGAATCCCAGAGACAACTAGGTGAAAAATATGTGCCCTTGAGCAAGGCACTTAACCCTAATTGCTTCTGTAAGTCGCTCTGGATAAGAGCATCTGCTAAATGGTAAATATGTGATCGTGTCTCAATGTAATCAAGATATGAAATTATTTTAAAAAACAAGAATCTCTTTTTGGGCGTAGTTGTGGTCAATTTGCAGTGTACAAATTATTATAATTATGTTCCGACCAGCCGCTCTGACAGAATAGGCCTGTGGCTAAATCTAGTTGCCTACCCCTGATTTTTAGTGCGTGACGAGAAAGATATGGAGGGAGAACCAGAGAGCAGGGTGAGGTTTTTTTACATAGGAAAGAGCCCTGTTGGTAGTCCTTTTGTTTATGGAATCATTAGAAAGGTTCAGCAGTTCAGGGACACAGATGTCCCTCTTTTGTTGCAGGTCTCCCCCCTTCTCTTCCTCCTTTTGTCGTACAGTCAGTTGCACCTAAGGACTGACCTCACTCGTCAGTTTAAAGTGCTTAATGTAAGGATTGGTGTCATTGTTTCACCGAGGGAGGGAGGGGGGCCCTGAGTCTGTAAGTGGCTCCTGTCCCTGGCTACAGGAAGTGAACACAGTGCAGCATACAGTAAGTAGTGTTAGGTTGCCTGAGCACTCCTGGCTCGCGCGATAGTGTCCGTGTGGGTGTCCGTGATGTTTGTCCGCGGGGGCTTTTCCCTGGGATGAGCGACGGTGACGAGGGGTGGACTCTGGAGAGCTGGGGGTGGACAGATCTGTGTGTATCATCCTCATTTCTCTTTCATTACCTTCTTTGTGTGTGTGCACTTGGCTATGTTTAGACAGCAGGCAGGGTCACTCATGTGTGCTCACCTTGACGGTTGTGTGTGACCGTGTGTGTGTGTGTGTGTTTCATAGGGATTAGGTTTCAGGCTGTAATAGCCTGTCATGCATTGTTTTGGAAAGTTATCGTTACGCTGTGCTAGCTATTCCCTACTTGGACTTCAGTTAGCCTAATGATCGTTTCTGGTATCTGTCGGAAGTACAGATTTTGAAACGGTTCCAAAGTCCAACAATGTGAATGCCGGACGGGGTTGTTCCTTGAGAGATGGCTGCAGCAGTTCCCTTTTTTTTTTGGCAAGGTTAAGTTGGGCATTGCCTAATACATTAGACTGATACCAACCTGGTTACAGTCTGAGATAATGCTGCGCTGATTGACTTGATCCGTGAGACACAGTTGACAGAAGTACCGAAAGTAACACACATTCTATCTATTTTCATGTTCTAGTGTAGAAAAAGTAGAGGAATTTTGGTATAGTGTGCAACACTGGACATGGGAATACAATGGCAGCCTCAGATTAATCATTGCACTGACAGTACAATGTTTTCTACCATTGGGGACCAATTGCACCTTCCCTGCTTTGTTTGTATACAGTGGGGGAAAAAAGTATTTAGTCAGCCACCAATTGTGCAAGTTCTCCCACTTAAAAAGATGAGAGAGGCCTGTAATTTTCATCATAGGTACACGTCAACTATGACAGAAAAAATGAGGAAAATCACATTGTAGGATTTTTAATGAATTTATTTGCAAATTATGGGGGAAAATAAGTATTTGGTCAATAACAAAAGTTTCTCAATACTTTGTTATATACCCATTGTTGGCAATGACACAGGCCAAACGTTTTCTGTAAGTCTTCACAAGGTTTTCACACACTGTTGCTGTTATTTTGGCCCATTCCTCCATGCAGATCTCCTCTAGAGCAGTGATGTTTTGGGGCTGTCGCTGGGCAACACTGACTTTCAACTCCCTCCAAAGATTTTCTATGGGGTTGAGATCTGGAGACTGGCTAGGCCACTCCAGGACTTTGAAATGCTTCTTACGAAGCCACTCCTTCGTTGCCCGGGCGGTGTGTTTGGGATCATTGTCATGCTGAAAGACCCAGCCACGTTTCATCTTCAATGCCCTTGCTGATGGAAGGAGGTTTTCACTCAAAATCTCACGATACATGGCCCCATTCATTCTTTCCTTTACACGGATCAGTCGTCCTGGTCCCTTTGCAGAAAAACAGCCCCAAAGCATGATGTTTCCACCCCCATGCTTCACAGTAGGTATGGTGTTCTTTGGATGCAACTCAGTATTCTTTGTCCTCCAAACACGACGAGTTGAGTTTTTACCAAAAAGTTATATTTTGGTTTCATCTGACCATATGACATTCTCCCAATCCTCTTCTGGATCATCCAAATGCACTCTAGCAAACTTCAGACGGGCCTGGACATGTACTGGCTTAAGCAGGGGGACACGTCTTGCACTGCAGGATTTGAGTCCCTGGCGGCGTAGTGTGTTACTGATGGTAGGCTTTGTTACTTTGGTCCCAGCTCTCTGCAGGTCATTCACTGGGTCCCCCCGTGTGGTTCTGGGATTTTTTTTCTCCCTCATTTTGTCTGTCATAGTTGACGTGTACCTATGATGAAAATTACAGGCCTCTCTCATCTTTTTAAGTGGGAGAACTTGCACAATTGGTGGCTGACTAAATACTTTTTTCTCCCACTGTATTAGCTGTAGAAGAAGTTGGAGCATAGGATCTACTTGAATGTTTCTGTGTGACGTATAGGCTACATAATATGGTAGTACATTTGATTATTAAGTGCCTTTCAAGACACCAAGAACAATGAAAACCGAAGGGTACTGTCAATCGATTGAATCACTGTTGATTAGAGACTGCGACTTGTTTTGTTTTTATTCTAATCTAATGCATTCCTCCATCTTCTCTTCCTTGTTGCCCAGCTCCAGCTACTCAACAACAGCCCTGGACTTTGAGAAGGAGCACAGGATCCCTCCTGTGTTAGAGTCTCCCAGGATGTCTCGGCGGAGCCTGCGTCTGCACTCTACCACTGGTCTCTATGGTGACGATAGCCTGGACTCTTCTCTCAACCACAACATGTACCACAGCACCTCCTTCAGCGCTGGAGGAGCCAGTCGCAGAGATTCCAAGTAAGTGATGTTGCTGCTGCCCTGGGGTTCCTTCTATGGATTTGGGCCCAGAGAGTTACATCCAGGGTTTTCTATGTCTAATCTGACGGTCTGTTTTTCCTCTCTCTCGCGCTTCGTCTCTTTCTCTCTCTCTCCCAGGGTGTTAAAGAGCAGGAGGTCTCAGCAGCACTCTGTCTCCAGCTCCCAGTCTCTGCTCCTCACCACGCCCCGTAAGAGCCAGCAGCCCAACAGCAGCCTGCACAGCGTGGCCGCCAGCGACGCCTCCCTGCTCTCCTCCATGCTGGACGAGTCGTGCATCCAGGAGCGCACGCTGGTCGAAGGCTTCTGGGGTTTGGATGAAGACTCTGAAGTCAAAGGTAATTTTTAAAAGGGCCTTATCAATCAGTTACTTGTACTGTCTCCAACATCAGCCTGTGTCTTGAATGGATTCCTTTACAAAGGGTGACTGTATAGTTTTTTTTTTTCTTGATCAAATCTATCTTAGAGTGGACCATGACAGACCGCAGTTTGTGTGCGGCCAACGGAGACATTAACTCGGCACAGACCCAGACCTCCATGGTGAACGGTAGCTTCTGTAAGGACAGCACTATCCACTCGGACAGAAATGACGCTCTCACCACATACTCTAAGTACTCCTCCTCCACTGCAGCCCGCTCTGCCACCAGCAACCAGGCCCTGACAGCTGCCGCCACCTCCCCTCCCTCCACCGTCTACGCCAGGGACAAGAGCCGCAAGCACAAAACGGGTGAGAGAGCCAGGCACAGAAGTACTATAATGTATTAAGCACATACACGTATTATATCTTGGAGTGTGAGTTTTGCCTTCCCATTTCGATGAAAGGAATATCATCCACAGTGTAGTTTGTTGTCATTGCTGATACAGGAGTGTGGAATTTCTTTTCATTTTCTTACATTTGACATGTATTTTGATTTGCAAAGTGCATTTTGAATGAAGTTGATTTGATTTGATTCAGGTGTGCTGGTGTCCTTCTCGGACACCTGTGTGCGTGTGAGCAGGAAGGCCGCAGCCTCTGTGGTGTACGTCTTCTCACTGCTCTTACAGAATGTACTGCTGAGAATACGCAAAGAGGGCAAAGGTATCAGCCTCTGCGCCGGCTCTGCCTCTTGATGTCTTTACCGCGCCAACATTGCCTCTCACTCCATTTCTCACACATCTGCCTTGCAGCTTCCCACTTTTGTGTCATAATATATTGGATATTGGATAATTTATCATTTTAGATGGGGCTCAACTTTTTTCTGCACTCTGCTTGTGCTGAGATGGCCTATGTAATCTGTATGCAAATCATGTGGTGGCAGCCTGTCAAGAAATCTGACAAAAGCATTTTGCTAAAGCTTAACATAGTCATACAATCTGGAGCATTCCCTTTTTAATATGCTCTTTCTCTTTAGGTGTGCTGTGGTCAGTATTAGACACCTGTCTGAACCATAGCAGGAGGGCAGCTGCCTCCACAGTGTCTGTAGTGACTCTGCTCATACAGGCTGCTATGCTGAAGATGGGCAGTGGGGGCAGAGAAGTGGTTAATGGAGGTATTCCACTGCTTTTTTAGAGGCTGAATGCTTTTTCATGGAGGTTGGGCATCCACAAGGCAGGTGTTGAGTGTGTGCATGATTTGCATAGGTCTATAGTTGACACTGGTTGAAACCTGATTTCAGGAATCACCCTGCTTGCAGTGCACCAATTATACATTTCACTCTTGCTTTCACTCTGTTTTTGAATAGATAATGGTGAATGAGTATTTTCTCCTGCACTGTAGTGAATCTGCACTGACTGGCGGTTGCAGTGGCTGTCACTGACTAACCTAAACTGACACTCCTTGTCACCTGCTTCTGACTGTCCTCTCTCTGAACAGGGAGACAGAGGCTGACACTACCGCAGCTTATCCTGCCTACACCTTTCTCACTCCTTTTTACATCACTCTACCTTTCTATTCTGGTGTTTTCACTTGTTTGGATGGCACTTTTACCACACAGATTTCACCCTCTGCGTTTCTCTCCCAAACAAATGGGCTGCCTTCTCTTTAGCTGTTTCCCTGGTGACATGCAAATGCTCTCTCTCTCCCTTGACTCACTATGTTCATCCTCAGCTCCGATGAAGGAAGGGAAAAGAGGGATGTTTTGAAGTTGATCGATATTTAGTTGTGCTAGTTTTATCTGATTTCTTTCTTATTGGTTGCAGCTCACTCCAGCTACTGTGGAAGCATGAATGTAAACGAGTTGGGGACTGATGGGAAACGCATGAATCTTAACGTCTCTCTTTGTAAGTGTAACTGACTTTCAGGCAGTTATTTTTGTTTGTACGTGATGACATGTGCTTGTATGTATGTATGTATGTGTGTATCAATAATGGACTAACATTTGTTTAAGTGGATTGGTGTGATTTTCATGTGGTTAGTGAGTAGCCTACAATTGGTCCTGTAGCTGAGTGTTTCTCTCACCAGTTATACCTAATGTCACTGTGTGGGAAAACCAGAGATGTAAAGTGGGTTGTTCAAACAAACCCCTCTTCTTCTCAGCCTTTCGCTCACCTTTGTGGCTACACACACCTGCCATGTACTTTTGTTAGGCTTCTCTTTGTAGGGGTAATGTCAGCCCTTATGATGTTTGATTTTCGTTAGCCTCTCAAAAAAAATCATGTTTTCTTTTACGCCTTTGCTGCTCTTCCACACTGCTTACGCTAACAGGTGATGACTGCAAAGGGAAGCAGCACGTGAAGGCACACATTGTCTCATCATCATCATCATCATCATCATCATGGGCCTGCCGGTCACACCATGCGTTGGGGGCACTGTGGCTTGCCACTGCTTACACAGGTTACCTATTAAGCCATCAAACTCGGGCCTATCCTCATATACTTGAAATTAATGAATGCACATCTACCTTTTAGTCCTTATTTTACTGTACAATGTAATTAGATTAAGTTGTGTTTTTGTTACTTGGTTGGTTCCCAGGCTCCAGTGTGTTGTGGGTGGGGCAGAAGGCAGGCTCAGCTGTGCGGTCCGTGACAAGGAGGATGATGTCTGTTCTCTGGTTGGCAGCCATGTCGCCAGGTCATCATTTTACCATGTTTAAATAGCTACACTCTCTTACCGTGTTTAACCAGCCTCTCAACCTCCAGATACACCTCTGCATGGCCTGCATGTTTCGTCCTAGTCTCCCCATGGCTAGCTTGTGTGTCTTCCTACCTGCCTTAACTCATTAGAATGGTGGCTTGGAGTATAATGTAACCTTCTCCATCTCTCTAACCTTTTTCTATTTAAACTGACTAACTGCTGTTTAACAGGTGCTGCAGGCGCTTACAAAATACTGGGACTCATTCTTACCTGTTCCATTTAATTTGCGTTTCATCATTCTAATTTGCTGCTCTGTGTTAGGCTAGGAAACTGCAAAGGCTGTCTGCAGAACTGCTTCCCCCTCTGCCTGCTGCTTCTGTCCCTCTGGACATATTTCGATTTAAAGTCTGTTCTAAGAATGGGAGCAATTTGTCAAGAGGAGTTTGGAGCACTGTGGTTTTACGAAAGATGGGCTCTCCTTAAAAAAAAAAAAGATGTTTTCTGCTGTACTGTGCATCTACGCTGACAGAGAAGAACACTGTTGCTTAGCCTGCTCTAGTGCCCCGGTCTGTAACCTGCACTGTATATATCTCCTTTCCTCTTATCTCATCTGGTGAATGTACTTCATTCTCTAATCTTTAGTGCTGTGTGGAAGTGCCTCCTCTACCCCTCCCACCTCCTGAAGAACTTTCACTAATCCGCTCCCTGTCTTTCTATTACGCAGGGAAGGCAGCGACCGGGGCCTTCTGGTGGCTGGGGACTGGATGGTATCATCTGGTCACCATCATGTCTCTCCTCAACATCTTTGTCTTGACACGGTGAGTCTCTTGGGTCTGATGGCGTAACACTCAAGGCTTGTGGTAGTGGATGGGATACATGATGTGATCACATTAACAATGATTTTTCTGTTTTCATAGGTGCCTTCCCAAGCTCCTCAAACTCCTACTGATTCTGCTCCCATTCCTCCTCCTTCTGGGTGAGTAGCACAGCTCTTGCTGTCCACCCCAAAGCACTGATGCTGGTTATCCATATTCCATAGTACTGTGCAATCACTTACTCTGACATACTGTAACCCCATTCCACTGCAGACACATCCTCTGTCTCATTTATCCTCCTCTGTGTTCTCCCAGCTCTGTGGCACTGGGGTCCGTCCAGCCTGCTGTCTGTGTTGCCTGCCATTAACGTCACTGAGTGGAGGACGGCCTACTACCTCAGTCAGACCCCTCTGGAACAAACCAAAGACAGCCAGCCCATCATGGCTCCACCACCACTACCACCAGCTGTCTCACAGGTAGAAGTGGTATTGATGCTCGTATTCATTGACCATTATATGATTGTCAGCTTCCGTAAGACCATCTAATTCTATTGATAAGGCTAGTTGCACAGTATAGCTGACCTCTATCCTCCCATGTATGTGAGCAGCCAGGCAGTGTGCTGGTGTCTGTGGACTCTGAGCGCCTAGCCCGGTTGGAGCAGAGGCTGGCCCAGCTGTGGGATAAGGTGGAGGGAGGGGGCCAAAGGCAGGAAAACCATCACCGGGAGGTGCTGGGTCTCTACCAGTCTCTACGAGAGCAGCTGGACACCCAGACGGACAAGGACAGCATGGGGCTGTGGGTGTCTAGCCTGCTGGAGGAGAGACTCACTCTGCTGAAGAGGGGGATGGAGAAGGATGCAGCACTGCAGAGAGAACTGGTGAGATCATCCGGGTTGGATTGTCAGGCATTCATTTCATCAAGCATATTCATTTAGCTTGTAATGAGAAGTAAACAAGTATGCAATTCGGTACGCTTACTTTGTTTGCTTTTTTATTTTTTAGCCTCTGTATGCTCATTAATCTCTACTTTCTTCCTGTGTTGTGCAGAGTCAGGAGATTCGAGAGCAGTATGTTGTGCAGCAGCAGGGCCAAGAGTCTCGTCTGGCTCAACTAGAGGTTCTACTGCAGACACTGGCTGCCAAGACAGATGTACAGACTCAGAGATCCTATACTCATTTCTATGCACAGACCTTACTGTAGAAGCTCTCTAAAAAAAAATTGTGTTGTCATATATCCATGTTATGTTGATTTATGTCTTCAGGAGGTGCAGAGGAGGCAAGAAGAGACTTCCAGTGCTACACCTGCGTTTGCACCAGTTCCTGTACCAGTGCAAGTCAAGTGAGATCAGCACATAACCCTTTGGATTGTAATAATTCAATAAAATCACGAGTGGTGTTGAATATTCCTCCATGTGACAATGTTGTATGCTCTTTCAGTGTGGGTGTGGACAGCGAATCCCATGATGCCTTGCTGGCGGAGGTGCAACTGCTGGAGGAGGCGCTGGGGCGCATTAGGCAGGACTTGCAGGGGGTGATGGGATGCAAGGGCATGTGTGACCGCCTGGACACACTTCATGAAACGGTGAGTTGCTTGCTCTGTCTCTGGCTCTGTACTGTACATGCATTGCTCCAGTAATACCAGGGCTTGACATTAACTTTTATACCAATTTTTATATATATATATATATATAATATTTATTTTTTTTATTTTTTTACTTGTCCAAAAGCTCAAGTCACTTGGTCTGTAACACCATAGGCCAAAAAGGTGACTGAAAATTGGGTTGTATGATACAAGGAACCACTTCAATGGAAGGCTGCTGGTCTCTGATCCCATGTATTATACAGTATCTCCTGCCGTTGTGGCCTTGAGCAAGGCACTTAACCCTCCACAAAGTAAAATACTGCACTGATAGGCTACTGTATAAAACACATGGCCCGTCAACCTTCCATCTGGAGAGTTACTGGGTGTGCAGACCTTTGATCCAACCCTGCTCCAACACACCAGAGTCAGCTTATCAAGGGCCTGTTTTTTTATTTTTATGTGGTGTGTTTTGAGCAGGGCTGGCGTAAAAGCCTGCACACCCATTAGCTCTCCTGGACGAGGGTTGGCCACTCTGCAACATTACAATTACAACCAAATACTTATGAAATAATTCCCTCATTCAATGACCCAGGGATCAAATGGCTAAGGTGGGGGAGGTAGCTAACTATACTGAACAAAAATATAAACGCAACATGCAACAATTTCAACAATTTTACTGAGTCACAGTTCATATATGGAAATCAATTAATTTAAATAACTAATTAGTACCTAATCTATGGATTTCACATGACTGGGCAGGGGCGCAGCCATGGGTTTGCCTGGGAGTGCATAGACTCACCCACTTGGGAGCCAGGCCCACACACTGGGGAGCCAGGCCCAGCCAGAGTTTTTTTCCCCCCCACAAAAGGGCTTAATTACAGACAGAAATACTCCTTAGTTTCATCAGCTGTCCAGGTGGCTGGTCTCAGATGATCCCGCAAATAGTCCGGTTGGCCATTTCATTAATTGTTCAACAGTCTTATGACTTGGGGGAAGAAGCTGTTAAGGAGCCTTTTGGACCTAGACTTGGCGCTCCGGTACCGCTTGCCATGCGGTAGCAGAGAGAACAGTATGACTTGGGTGACTGGAGTCTTTGACAATTTTTTTGGGCCTTCCTCTGACACCGCCTAGTGTATATAGGTCCTGGATGGCAGAAAGCTTGGCCCCAGTGATGTACTGGGTCGTACGCACTACCCTCTGTAGCGCCTTACGGTCGAATGCCGAGCAGTTGCCATACCAGGCGGTGATGCAACCAGTCAGTATGCTCTCGATAGTGCAGCTGTAGAACTTTTTGAGGATCTGGGGACCCATGCCAACTCTTTTCAGTTTCCTGAGGGGGAAATGGCGTTGTCGTGCCCACTTCACAACATTCTTGGTGTGTTTGGACCATGATAGTTTGTTGGTGATGTGGACACCAAGGAACTTGAAACTATGGTTGTGAGGCCTGTTGAGTGTACTGCCATATTCTCTAAAACGACGTTGGAGGCGGCAAAACTGCACATTTTAGAGTGGCCTTTTATTGTCCCCAGCACACGGTGCACTTGTGTAATGATCATGCTGTTTAATCATCTTCTTGTTATGCCACACCTGTCAGGTGGATGGATTATCTTGGCAAAGAAGAAATGCTCTCTAACAGGGATGTAAACAAATTTGTGCACACAATTTGAGAGAAATAAGCTTTTTGTGCGGATGGAAATATTCTGGGATCTTTTATTTCCGCTCATGAAACAGTGGACCAACACTTTATATTTTTGTTCAGTATAAGATGTTTATCTATTTGTAAAGTTAAAATATTCAGGGGAGATTGACAGCATAGGAGTTACTTGTCAATTATGCTATTTTAAGAATATTTTGTAACTTTTGTTAGAATTCAATGGCCAGTATTGAATAGAGGAGAATCCTAGCGAATTTTGAACGCTTGAGTGAGAATTTGATGACCGGATTATGGTTTCATCAACTGCGCACCCATGTCAACTTCGTGTCCGCCATTTGCAGTTATACACGAGTGCTGGTGGAAAGTTATTTTAGAACATCGGACATGACATTAATGCATGCTAAATAACCAGCCAAACTACACAATAGTTAATCTGTATGTCTTTTTATTTGACCTGCTGTGCAAATGTGTCTCTCTCTCCTCTGGCAACAGCCCACTGGCACACACGCAGGTGATACATACACACCATGACTTTAACAGGATTTTCATTGCTGACCAAAAATGTGCTGTAACTGCGCAAATAACTCTCACTAGCAATTATCAACAAATGGGCAAACACTGCTAGGCTCGCTTTGATCTCAAACGCGATCTCGCGGCTGAGTGATTGAAAGACCACTCATGCCTGTCAATGCAGGCCTACAATAATTATACGCCGATGCGCTCTGCAGAGATCAATTCTGATCGGAGTTGCCTAATTGTTTGATGTAGTGATTTTTCTATAGTGTTTTTTGAGAGTGTTTTAACTTGTCCATTCGGACAACTTAAATCTTTAATATGCTTGTCCAACAATGTTTGTTTTTGGGGTTTTTTCCTTGCCGCGGCCAAGCGTTTGTCGAGCCCTGTGTACCTTTCCAGATGGCCTCTCCCATTCCTTTGATTAGCTGGTCCTGTACAGACACTCAATATTATTTAATGCTGAGATGTTTTTGCTGGTGTTCTTTATATAAATCCTCTCTGTTGACCGGTGACCTCTGTCTGATGGTGTCTGTCTCCCTGTGTGGTCGTGGCAGGTGTCTGAGCAAGTGTCTGCCCAAGTCAGACGGGAACTGCGGGCCCTGTTCTACCGCAGCGAGCAGGTCGGAGATTCCGAACCCGGGGAAAAGGAGCTCCTTGAGTCGCTGCTGCAGTGGCTCTCTGAGCGCTATGTAAGCGGGGCTGATGTGCAGGCCTCTCTGGCCTCCCTGGAGCTCAGCATCCTTCAGAACGTGACCCTGCAGCTGGAGGAGAGCAGGGCCAGGCAGGAGACTCTCAGCACTGAGACTGTCACTCAGACTGTGATGCACACTGTTGGAGCCACAGGGGCCGGGATGTCCGAGGAGGTAAGGGGTTTGGTTTGGGGAATTTTGTGGAGAAAGAACATTTGTCGTTTTTATTGGCTTAATTATTTTTTATTTAAAGATGCACTATGCATAAATCGCTCAGGCATTTCCTGGTTGCAAAAATTCTAATAGTTTGCCTAATTTCAGTTTGACTAAATAAACAAGTATAGTGTAGCGCGGTGTTCGCCAACCGGTGGACCACGGGCGGTTGTTTTCTGGCCCCCTAAGTATTCCCACGCATAATAGACACGTGATCATGTACATATGTAAGCAAGGTTTGAAATACTTATGTTTTAGTCAAATATTATATTTGTTTGGGCTTCTTGTGGTCAATTTGCAGTCTACAAATTATTTGTAATTATGTTCCAGCCCTCCAACCATCCGCTCAAGTTAAAATCGGCCCGCGGCTGAATCTAGTTGATGATCCCTGTTGTCTAAACCGCTGTGAAATATATTTTCCATAACCAAAAATATTGTATTTTCAGCTGTTTTTAAAGTTGGTGTACAAAACCGAAAGTAAAAGACTCAAAAACTAAACTTAAGAACAGGAAGCATAGAAAAAGCGCACACGGAACCGATTACCGCTTTTTAGACTTTTCATTGACGGCTCTAACTCGTATTTCTGTGAATTTGGTTGGGTCACCCAAAAGGTTAAAATTCTGTGTTTTGGATTTCAAAATGATTTATTTAAATGCAATGTGATTAAGTCAAACTATTTCCTGTCAGTCTGCACTATTCCATTTCCTCACCCAACCACCATTTTCCTCTCTTCCTCCTCCAGCATGTACAGCTGATAGTGAAGAACGCTCTGAAACTCTACTCCCAGGATCGGACCGGCCTGGTGGACTATGCTCTGGAGTCTGGAGGTAAAGTTTCACAGTTGTTGTGGTGGGGCGTGGCGACTACGCTGATTTTGTTTATCTACGTGATTATTTGAATGATCTGTTTGGACTTTGTACAGTAGTTTCTGGTGTGACCGTCTTTAACGATGCCCTCGTTGTAAAATGGGTGTGGTTGCATTGTGTACAGTTTTGAAAGTGACATGAGATATCATGGCTGTGTGTGTCTGCAGGTGGCAGCATCCTGAGCACTCGCTGCTCTGAGACGTACGAGACAAAGACGGCACTGATGAGTCTGTTTGGTCTCCCACTCTGGTACTTCTCCCAGTCTCCTCGTGTGGCCATACAGGTACAACTCAAGTCACCACACCACATGAGACTAGTCTGAGTTTTCTGATCGCTTCGTGATTTATTACATTGATTAATTATATTGGGAGAGTTTCAGTTCCTGATAGTGCCTTTTCCAACAAAAGTAATCATCCATACACTGGTTTAATCTTGCTCTCTCTTTCTTGCACTGCAGCCTGATATCCATCCAGGGAACTGCTGGGCGTTTCAGGGTTCCCATGGTTACCTGGTCATTCGTCTCTCCATGAGGATCGTGCCCTCTGCCTTCTCATTGGAGCACATCCCCAAAGCCCTGTCGCCAACAGGCACCATCAGCAGCGCCCCGCGCCAGTTTACCGTCTACGTAAGCCATGCAAACCTCCAACTACACTGCTTACCCAATTAACATTCACGTCGGCTATTACTGTCTAAGCAAGCCAGTCAGAAGCCCACCTAGTAGACACTCAAGTCAGTCACATTTACTGTGAGTGTGCTCTGGTGAAGCACTACTGATTGACACACTTATTGCTGTGGGTCTCTGCTGTTTTCTAACTGTGTACTCTTGTTTCCAGGGTCTGGATGATGAGTACCAGGAGGAGGGTAAGCTACTGGGCAGCTACACCTATCAGGATGATGAGGATGCGCTACAGACTTACCCTGTCATCGTAAGTACACTTCAACACTACAGCAAGGGGCTTGATTGGCCAGATGTAGATGTTTAGTATTCCACATGGCATTTATTTCTAGTACAATTTAGAGATGGTGGCTTGGCAAGTTGTATGTCTTGCTACTCTTACATGGCTTGAGTGTAAATGTAGTGTATTTTGCTATCTATCCACAGGAGGAGAATGATCAAGCCTATCAGATCATTGAGGTTCGGGTGCTGTCCAACTGGGGTCACCCAGAGTACACCTGCCTGTATCGCATCAGAGTGCACGGTCAGCCTAGTATCAACTGATGGCACAGAGCAGACCACCCTGTATACATTTTTATGTTCTGCAGATGACTGGAGCCAATTATGCACACACATACATGTGCTTGAAACTTTATTTGTGCACTAACTCATCCCACCAGGACAGGGGCTCTACCAGAGTGACCACAGGTCTGAATCTGAAGCACGGCCACTGGTGCATGTGACTTTCGAAGGACTATCACCCAACCACTAATAATTTATTACATTTGTAAAACGGTTTTCATTTTACAGAATAATCTCAAAGTAACCATTGGGCTCCTAAATCGGGGAGAAAAAATATGGATGAGAATCTGTGCTTTACTACATTTTATTGGTTAAGGAATGTTTCAAGTACATTTTCTCAGTCTATTTATACATGAGCTATATGTGTTATGAGACCAAACTGGATTCATGTGTGTTGAGCACTTGGTGAAACCAGGGCCCATATCCACAAAGCATATCAGAGTAGGAGTGCTGATCTAAGATCAGTTTTGCCTTTTAGATCATAGTGAATAAGATCATATGGACAGATCCTAGATCAGCACTCGTACTCTAAAATGCTTTGTGGATACGTTCGCAGGTTTTACCATGTTCTCTTACGAACAATGGAAGAATGTAAACTTGTACATTTTGTCTATAGTTTGTCATTTTTAAGTCTACTAATATCAGTGTTGCTTTGAAATATGTATATGCTGCAATTATAAAATGTTACTGATTTTGTTTTTGTTTTTTAAAGGGAATTTAACGCTCAAGTAAGTTAAGGATATCTTGCACTGGTCCTTTCAGCCACAGAAGTCAGGCTTTGGCCATGACCCTTTATTGAGTATCTACAAGTGCCCAGTTGTAAATCTCATTGTTTGTCCCGAGTTACTGAAACACCAATCTGTGTAATATATTTTTGTAAATGATTTTCAGACTATTTGTAAATGGTCTTGGGACTATACAGGTTTATTTTGTTTTATAATTTTATTTTTGTCTTTTGTACATAATTGTCATGTGTAAGAAATGTTCAAATAAAAACCTTAATTTTGAGTTATGTAACAGTCATAACTAAAGGAAATCGGGCAGAATAGTTTCAACAAATGTGGGAATGTTTTGTCATAATTGCCCCACCGGCTGAGCTTGGTTGCAGTCTGATTCTCCACCCTTCTTCCTGACCTGTGCACCCATTCACACAGATTTTGACATATGTCCAATAACTGGGGGAAACTGCACTACAGACAGTATATGTATGGCACACTCGTCCTAGACCGAACAGAGGAATCTGGGTCCGTGAGAGCTGGGTGGTGAATTTTTAGGTGCAGCAGTCCCTAGTGGTAGCTATTCATCTGGGGTGGTAGTATCTCTCGACCAGTAGGGCCCGCTGTACTCACAACAATGAGGGAGGGGCAGCAGTAGCTAGAGTTTCATACTCTGTCTTTGGAGAAGCTAGTGCTGTATTTTCCCCTCACAGGAGCTGCTCAGAGCTGGACTGGACATATACTGAATCTCCACTCACAGATGACAACTATACAGCATAGTGGGAATTCTAGCCTTACCACACATTAAGCGTTTTGTGATAAAGTACTATACCGTTAGCTAGCTAACGTTACATACAGTAATGTAATCTTCCTTCCAGACCAGGATGAAGTTTGACTGACATGGTTGCCCCACTGTCACTGGGATCATATGCTGTATATGATCATGCAGTACATGATTATGAGATTCCTTCAAATGATCAGTTCATTGAGCTAGCTAGGTAGCTAGCTAGATATTACATTAATGAATAACGTTAGCTTGGCTATCTGCTCAAAGAGAAAGCCAGGTCATATCCACATAACGCCTTGGACCAGAGCTAATGCACATAGCTAGGTAAAGGTAACTAATACAACCATGATGAAGATGTGTTTCAGTGTATAAGAAATAGTGAAATGAAAATAGCAGTGAAATATTTAGCGTGGGATCTAGAAACTTGAGCGCAAATACCTAACTACGGCAAGTGAAATAGGACATAGCTATTTTTTTGTGCATCCGTTTCTGCACTGTCAACGCTTGGCTTGGTTGTTGGGCGGAGCTGCTGGGAACAATGATGTCGGAGCAGGAGGCTCTGAAGTGCTCCAGCGCAAGAAACCGTGGAGGAACGCAGCGGGTTGAAGGGAAACTGCGAGCCAGTGTGGAAAAGGGAGATTACTATGAGGCTCACCAGATGTACAGAACCTTATTTTTTAGGTAAGAAATTTGAATTTTCGTTAGCCTGGCTAAGTTATCAGTTGGCTTCTGGGCCTTCATTTTCCTGATCTTTCTGCTTGTCAACCTTGCTGCCTCCATTATATTGTATCATTGGTCGATTCATGGTACTGCCCCACCCACTCGGGTCTGTCCTTATTTTTGAATGGACAGTTTTATACGTCAATCTCTCAGTCACAGAATGGGAATTATCCGCCTAGCTAGCTAGCCTAGTTAGCTAAATGTCAATGTCGCAATAATATGCTAGCGCTAACCCATTTACAAACGCTAGCTAGTTACCTACCCACAATGCCCATGTTCGTTTAGTGAAGATATAGTTCACTAACCTGGCACACTTACAAACAGTACAGACTGTCACTCCAAGCCCAGAAAAAACCATGTCAAGTACAAGTACTAGTTAGCTAACGCTAACTAACTTGCCATCTAGCTTGTTTTGTAGTTAGCTAGTTTCTTTTAGCTACATTTACAAACCAACTAACGTTAGCTAGTCAACTTTGCTAAGCATGCACAATCAATTAAGCTATTGTAGGTATTGCCCATGATTCATGACTACCCATCACCATCACTATGGTCTCATTCATTAACTTGCTGTTGGTTGTACTTCAATGTTTGACAGTCATGACAGGTAGCCTAACTTCACATGAGAACTGTGTGGGCACAGCCTTTACGTTAACTAATGGTGTTTTCACATATAGTCCTCTTTAAAATAACTGATCTCAGTCCTCTTTAAAGTGAACTCTGGGGTAAAAAAAAAAAAAAAAAGAACTCCGTTCTCTTTGCATTCACATTGCTATGTTTAGAAAGGAACCAATATATTTTTCCAACATTCACTCAATGCACTCTGGGTAAAAGTAAGGGACAAGCCATTTCATCAGAATGTGCTATCGGACAGCTAGATAAACCGACATACATTTTGGAAGCTAATATATTGCATTTTGTTAAAAGGTGACACATAATAATGTAATCAGATAATAATATTCACATGTCATTATTATTGGTAACAGATTAAATACCAGTAGAATAACTGCAGGCCTAATTGAAAACTGTACACCCAATGTAGGCTACTGACCGTTTAAGATCTAGAATGGATTGTGTAACTATGTTGTGATTCTCACCAAATACACTACATGACCAAATGTATGTGGACACCTACTCGTCAAACATCTCATTCCAAAATCATGGGCATTAATATGGAGTTGGTCCCCCCTTTGCTGCTATAACAGCCTCCACTCTTCTGGGAAGGCTTTCCACTAGATGTTGGAACATTGCTGCGGGGACTTGCTTCCATTTAGCCACAAGAGCATTAGTGAGGTCGGGCACTGATGTTGGGCGATTAGGCCTGGCTCGCAGTCGGCATTCCAGTTCATCCAAAAGGTGTTTGATGGGGTTGGGGTTGAGGTAAGGGCTCATCTAGAATGTCATTGTATGCTGTAGCGTTAAGAATTCCCTTCACTGGAACTAAGGGGCCTAGCCCGAACCATGAAAAACAGCTGGTAGCGTTCTCTTGGCATCCGCCAAACTCAGATTTGTCAGTCGGACTGCCAGATGGTGAAGCGTGATTCATCACTCCAGAGAACGCGTTTCCACTGCTCCAGAGTCCAATGGCGGCGAGCTTTACACCACTCCAGCTGACACTTGGCGTTGCGCATGGTGATCTTAGGCTTGTGTGTGGCTGCTCAGCCATGGAATTCCATTTCATGAAGCTCCTGACAAACAGTTATTGTGCTGACGTTGTTTCCAGAGGCAGTTTGGAACTAGATAGTGAGAGTTGCAACTGAGGACAGACGATTTTTACGCGCTTCAGCACTCGGCGGTCCCGTTCTGTGAGCTTGTGTGGCCTACCACTTCGCGGCTGAGCCATTGTTGCTCCTAGACGTTTCCACTTCACAATAACATCACTTACAGTTGACCGGGGCAGCTCTAGCAGGGCAGAAATCTGACAAACTGACTTGTTGGAAAGGTGGCATCCTATGATGGTGCCACATTGAAAGTCATTGAGCTCTTCAGTAAGGCCATTCTACTGCTAATGTTTGTCTATGGAGATTGCATGGCTGTGCCCGATTTTATACACCTGTCAGCAATGGGTGTGGCTGAAATACCCGAATCCACTAATTTGAAGGGGTGTCCACATACTTTTGTATATATAGTGAATGTTGTTGTCTTCTCACACTCAAATAAACAGCTTATGAAGCTCTCTTAGCCTATAGATAAACATATTGCAAATAAATAATCTGAACATCGTGTCAGTACAAAACTCCACACATTTTGGAATTTCTGTGCATCCTGGACAATCGCTAATCAATATCCAAAAACAGCACACATTTTTTCTGCGAACCTGCACATTATCTTCTCTCTCCAATGTGGCGGGGTTATGGCAGGGGAAACGGTGTTGCAGTAGTCTAGTGTGTGGTGCGAAAATAATGACAAGCAAACCTGGGGAGCTTTAAAAAAGGGAACCAGACCACGCAATTCAAGCGAACCGAACTGAGACCAGCTCTCAAGATGGTCTCAGTTCAGTTCGGTTCGGGGGCTCTTTTGAGGGGTCTGAGTTCCTTTGGAGTGTTCACACTCAACTTAACTTCCCTTCATTTTTTGTGGAGATGACAAAATGTAGCTGTAAGGGACCAAGTGTGAAAACACCCTAAGTGAAAGTTCACTGTTATTAAACTATTGTGTATTGAGAAATGTTGTCCCAGTGACTGAGTCCTACTTTTCAGCCCTCAGTATTTCCTAGGGGGACCACCACACTACCATTCCTATTGCCACTTTCTTAACCTGGTTTGAATGCTGTTTGTCAGTGACATGACATTTGCCATCTCTGTTTGACACAGGTATACGTCACAGGCAAAGCATGCAGATGCCAGGGAGTTGATGTACAATGGTGCCCAGCTCTTCTTCAGTTACAACCAGGTATAAGAAGGCCTGCCACTGGGGCATTCATTATGTTAATGTCGTTTTTTTGCATCTCTTTTTGAGTAGAGTCTAAGCGCTATAGCTAGCAATTTTTTTAATTCACAACTAAACGGTTGTAGAAGAGTTCTGTGGCAAATTGCTGTTTTTTTGTAATCCGCAGCTAAACAGTGCTGCAGACCTGTCAATGTTGGTACTAGAGTCTTTGGAGAAATCAGAGGCAAAGGTAGAGGACGAAGAGTTAGGTGAGCTAACATACATCATTCATCGTAATTAAACAATATAAACACAGTTAGTGTCAGTGTACCGTCGTCTCTGTGTTAACCTCATCTGTGTTGCATTGCAGAGCACCTGGCTAAGCTGTTCAGTTTGATGGACCCTAACTCCCCAGAGAGAGTAGCATTTGTGTCCCGCGCACTCAAGTGGTCCACAGGCGGTTCGGGGAAGCTGGGCGCTCCCAAACTGCATCAGCTCCTGGCAGTCACCTTGTGGAAAGGTATTCAATGGAAAACTCTGAACATTAAACTGCAAAGATATAATTTTTCCCTGAACAAAGAGTTTGAATATGATTGAATTCTATCTGTTTAGAGCAAAACTACAGTGAGTCTCGCTACCACTTCTTGCACTCCTCTGATGGAGAGGGCTGTGCCCAGATGCTGGTGGAGTACTCGGCGCAGCGGGGCTTTCGCAGTGAGGTGGACCTGTTTGTGGCGCAGGCCGTCCTACAGTAAGTCTCTGTCTCGCTGCACCTAGATCTGTTTTCAGTCTGTCACCAATAGCTGTGTGTTATGTTGTTTAATTGCTTGTTCAGCTCTGTCCCTCGTCTCTCTCTCTCTCTCTCTCTTTCCCTGCCTGCTCAGGTTCCTCTGTCTAAAGAACAAAAACAGTGCGTCTGTGGTGTTCAGCACATATACTCAGAAACACCCCTCAATAGAGAAGGGCCCTCCCTTTGTCCAGCCCTTGCTCAACTTCATCTGGTTTCTCTTGCTGGCGGTGGATGGGTAAGGCCTTGTTTATTCAACCACCCTTTGAATAAAACCCACATTGTTTTGCCAGGCTCTCATAAATGTGCCTCTCCTCGTGTGTTCTCCTCTACAGAGGGAAATTAACAGTGTTCACAGTGCTATGTGAACAGTATCAGCCTTCCCTGAAGAGGGACCCTATGTATAATGAGGTGAGCTTGACCCGTTAATGAGTGTCCCTCCGTGGTCACGTAGCATTATAACTCAGCGTGGTGTCTAATAATCATTCTCCTTCTCCTCCTCCTGTTACATTGACTGCCTGCTGCGTCAGTATCTCGACAGAATAGGTCAGCTTTTCTTTGGGGTGCCACCCAAACAGTCCTCATCATATGGTGGATTGCTCGGTAAGTGCTTGTGACTCACTACACACTATTTTTACAAACCCATTCTGATCACCATTGAAAGCTACATTGGGGAAACGGTAGGTTTTTGTGTTTCATTGAAGTGTGTTCTGTGTCTGTCAGGAAACCTGTTGAACAGCCTGATGGGCTCAGGTGAGGATGAGGAGGGAGAAGAAGCACATGAGGACGGCAGCCCCATCGAGCTGGACTGAGAGCTCTGGGGCGAGCAAGGATGACCCCCCCCCCCCCCCCCCCCCCCCCCCCCGGGGTAGCAGAGGTGTGCTGGTCCTCAGTTCCCCCAGACATCCAACCAGAACCAGAACAAAAAGCAGGCCAAACCATCCCACTCAGCACAACCTGGACTGCGCAAAAATGCAAATGCTTTCCGTTTGAGTTTTATTTTGGTTTTATTTTCATCGTTTTTGTTTCTTAGTTTTGGACAATTTTCTGTGTAGTTTTGGTTTTTAAAAAGGAAAAATAAGCAGCTGCGATCCTTCCTTCCTTCCTTCCTTCCTTCCTTCCTTCCTGGACTTCTTATTTTCTCTCATCCCCAGGGACAGAACAGATTCAACAGTGGCTGCATATTCATTTGTCATAATTAACTCATAAAATAACAGGGAGTAGTACTTTTTCTCCCCATGCACCATGCATCCACCACAGGTGGAGGTAGTAATTTGTATTAAAGAGTTACTATAACCAACTTGTAATCCATGTAAATGTTCAATAATAATCGAGTGATAGGGGTGTGGTGAGCTGCATGGTATAGAGTCAGTGGAGAGAGATATACAGGTAACTGCCAAAATAATGGAAACACTTGAGTAAATGAGGGATAGAAGTGTATTGAAAGCAAGTGCACTAACATCACATCATGCTTGGGGTAATATATAAAAATGCTGGTCAGGCCATTATTTTGGCTACCATGGCTATTTCCCCATAGGATGACAATGCCCCCATCCACAGGGCACGAGTGATCACTGAATGGTTTGATGAGCATTAAAAAGGTTTAAACCATATGCCATGGCTGTATCAGTCACTAGATCTCATCCCAATTGAACACTTATGGGAGATTCTGGAGCGGCTCCTGAGACAGCGTTTTCAACCACCATCAACAAAACACCAAATTATGGAATTTCTCGTTCCAGACAATATAATCTATGCCAATGTGCATTGAAGCTGTTCTGGCTTGTGGTAGCCCAACGTCCTAATAAGACGCTATGTTGGTGTTTCCTTTATTTTGGCAGTTACCTGTACCTGTCGGGCATCGTATACCTGGCTGCAAACTAAAGCCGGATTTGACCACTATTCATAATCTGTTAACGTATGGGAGATTACATGTGTGTTTAAATTGACAGGAGTGGATGGGTATGCTCAGATCATATATACCTGGCTGTGTGTGTGTGTTGAATGTATTTGGCATGTTCATGTGAATGTGAGTCAGTTCCGTTGAAGTCTTCTATATCGGGCGTCTTCCCCCCCAGATACATTTTCAGTTTGAGTTGGGTGACTGCTCCATTTTGTCGGTCCAGATGTTTGACTGAGATCAGACGGACGAAGGGAAGATTAAACAACTTGAAAGAAACAATCCCAGCCTACCGTAGTATTATATTGTCTATATCCAGAAGCTTACATTATTTATCTTACCGGGTTGGGCTTAAATGCATACTCCAGTATCCAAAATGAATATTCCTTTACATACATGGAGTGGTTGTTTAAGTCAGTAATTTGACATTTTCTTCTGCTACTGTACATGTTTTGGGAATTTCTTGAATTCATGTTTTACAGGTTCTTATCTGTTTTGGAATTATAACTGCTGTAGAAATTCTCAAGGGTGAAACTTCCAAGCTTCTCTACAGCCACCTCGAGATGTTTTGTTATTATAAAGTGAAATCCTTGATAATAGTCAAGATGTCCATTAGGGTGTTACTACTATAACATCTCTCTGCTTAAGAAAACAAGTTAATGCCACTGGTTACATAAGTATGCACCAACTCCACAAAATAAGTAGCCTGGATAGCAAAAAGGTCTGAATCTAATATTCCTCCTGCTGTGTGAGTCGTATGTACGGTAATGCACAGAATGTTTAGGGAATGATACCGGAGTTGTGTGGAGTATGTGTGACCAAAGGCTTTTAGACAGACCACGGCTCTGGCGGGCTAGCCAGCATGTTGAACATAACATTTTGTTTTTGATAGTTTCATTTGAATGCAAATGGGGGTTGTTTGCCTTTTAAATGTTTCACTAATTGAGTAAATAAACAACTGATGATAGCTTCTCTGTCCACACTGTCTGTTTAAAGAGTGCTAGGCTTGAAAGAGTTGTTTGCTTTTAGAGGAGACAATAATTTATTACAAATACACAACACCGCCATGGTTTGGTTTTGCTTTTTCCAATCACGTATGTTCAGACATTTTACAATAATATACAAAATGTTAGCACAGAATGGAGAAACTTAATTTCAGTACAGTACAAATACATAAACAAGTATACAATAATTGAAAGACAGGGAAGTTTAACGGCATTGTATGAATCAGTTATCTATGTTAGTTTATCATTCAACAATGGCATAACAAGGACCTCTATCTAGGATCAGACTTGCAGAGGGAGTGTCTTTTCTTGTAGGGGCCATGGGAAAGCAGTGAATCTGTGTAGAAGTTGGATGTCTGCAGGGCTGTCTAGCTCCAGTCCTTGAGGACTGATCTGAGTTTTCATATCAATCTGGCAATTAATTGATTAATTGATGTAACTGATTAGATAGAGGCTACACACCTAGTTTACTAGGTCCAAATGAAATACTGAAGGATGAAAATCAGCACATGTACATCCCTCCAGGGGCCTGGTGGGCACTAAACAGATACTGCAATTATAAGGTGAGACAATCCCTACAGTGCACATAGATATATGGGAAAGGGGATGTAGTCGATGTCCTCAGGTCCTGGACTGCAGTGTGAGGCGTTGAAGCATGTCTGAGAGGTGAGCCATGTCTGGCTGCTGGGCCTGGTGCTTGATGAACTCTAGCGTCCGCACCTGTCAAGAAAAAAAAGAAAGGGCGACTAAGAAATACAACTGTATTCTGGAAATATGTTGTGTATACAGAGATTTGATTAGAATCACTTTACTGCATCTCTCCCATGCCTAAAACTGTCTGTGTTTTACTCACGGCGGTGCGTGTGTCGCAGTAGCCCTGTTTGTGGCTCAGATTCCACAGGTTGACAGCCAGCTGGTTGAGTTTGTTATTGCGTAGGTCCCCATGAGCCAGGAGGCAACCAAACAGGGAGAAGGCCAGACTACCCTGTCTACGAACACTCTACAACAGAGGAAGGGACAGGAAAGGATAAGAGAGGAGAGTTAAACGTTTATGGATAAATACAAAAAACTATGTATAAACAGTGAATTTCTCTGACACTGGCATAGTGTGTGTCCTACCTCATCTCTACCCAAGCTCTTGAGATGGTCCAGCACTTGTCCAATCAGAGTTTCACATAACTTGTTGATCTCTGCCACAAACTTGGGATCTCCTCCATAAAGTGTTTCATTAGAGTCCACTGGAAAAGAGAAAGGAAGGGTGTGTGTTAGCTGGCTTTGACTCCAATGATCCTTTCATTTCACTCTCTTCTATATTTCTAGCCTATTCTGAGAGACCAATATCATATGGTCCTCTGTAGCTCAGTTGACGCTTGCAACGTCAGGATAGTGGATTCAATTCCCAGTACCACCCGTACTTAAAATGTATGCATGCATGACTGTAAACCGCTTTAGATAAAAGTGTCTGCTAAAAGCCATATTATTATATGCCACATAAACCTGGATAGTAGGGGAGAGGAGGGTGTGTGTTTGTAGGTAGTACCTTTGGGGATGGAGTAGAGGTAGGTCTCCTGACTCATGGCAGCCAGTAGTGGCAGGGCGCTGATGTAGACTTGGACCTTGGCGTCACTGTTGTCCTCCCAGGTGTAGTCCTGTACCATGTTGAGCAGCCCACGCACCAGGTACAACACCCCTGCCTCTGGGTGGTCCTGGACACGCACACGGGAAGTACTTCCTTGATATTTCCTATTTCTTTAGTTATTTCAAGCATTATGGGAAAAGCAGGGATGTTTCCTTACCGGCACAACTAGTAGTGCTGACAGGAAGTTGTTGATGAAGTCAAGCAGGAAGCACTCAGAAGAGCGCAGTTTTCCCTCGATACTGACACTGCGTGGCACCTCTGGCAACACACTGACCGCTGCCTTCAGGAATGCATCCGCTAGGAGAGAGAGATAACAATGAATGAGAATTCACTTCAGAACTGGTGAAAACCTCATGACTCTGGGTCTGTCTATTCTGAACAGAGCAAACTCAGACTTACCCTGGGAAAGACACTGGTTGGCCAGGGCCACCTGCCCAGACAGCAGGTAGAGGTTGAGGCGGCTGAAGATGCTGGTGAGGGAGGGAATGGTGATGAAGCTGTATGCAGCACATGCCTGAGAGAGAGAACAAGGATTTAGTGACATATTAGTGGCCATATTGAGGACACAGATGTTGGTGTTACAGATAGTGCTGTACGGTGACCAACCCTGACAAAAGCAGCAGTCTTGCGGGAGTGGCTCCCCCTCATCACACGCCTTGTCTCCATGGCCAGCTGGTTTACAGTCTGAGAGAAGAGGACAAAAGTTCTGTACATGTATGTACTGTGCATTCGGAAAGTATTCAGACCCCTTGACTTTTTCCACATTTTGTTACGTTGCAGCCTTATTCTAAAATGGATTAAATTGTTTTTTTTTCCCATCATCAATCTACACACAATACCCCATAATGACAAAGCGAAAAAGTTTTTTTTGACATTTTAGCAAACAAAAAACAGAAATACCTTATTTACATAAGCTTTCAGACCCTTTGCTTTAAGATTAGAAAATGAGCTCAGGTGCATCCTGTTTCCATTGATCATCCTTGAGATGTTTCTACAACTTGATTGGAGTCCACCTGTGGTAAATTCAATTGATTGGACATGATTTGTAAAGACACACACCTGTCTATATAAGGTCCCACAGTGACAGTGCATGTCAGAGCAAAAACCAAGCCATGAGGTTGAAGGAATTGTCCGTAGAGCACCGAGACAGGATTGTGTCAAGGCACAGATCTGGGGAAGGGTACCAAACAATGTCTGCAGCATTGAAGGTTCCCAAGAACACAGTGGCCTCCATCATTCTTAAATGGAAGAAGTTTGGAACCACCAAGACTCTTCCTAGAGCTGGCCCACCCGGCCAAACTGAGCAATCGGGGGAGAAGGGCATTGGTCAGAGAGGTGAGCAAGAACCTGATGGTCACTCTGACAGAGCTCTAGAGTTCCTCTGTGGGGATGGGAGAAGCTTCCAGAAGGACAACCATCTCTGCAGCACTCCACCAATCAGGTCTTTATGGTAGAATGGCCAGACGGAAGCCACTCCTCAGTAAAAAGGCACCTGACAGCCCTCTTGGAGTTTGCCAAAAAAGCATCTTAAGGACTCTCAGACCATGAGAAACAAGATTCTCTGGGCTGATGAAACCAAAGATTGAACTCTTTTGCCTGAATGCCAAGCGTCACGTCTGGAGGAAACCTGGTACCATCCCTACGGTGAAGCATGGTGGTGGCAGCATCATGCTGTGGGGATGTTTTTCAGAGGCAGGGACTAGGAGACTAGTCAGGATCGAGGGAAAGATGAACGGAGCAAAGTACAGAGAGATCCTTGATGAAAACCTGCTCCAGAGTGCTCAGGACCTGAGTCTGGGGAGAAGGTTCACCTTCCATCAGGACAACGACCCTAAGCACACAGCCAAGACAACGCAGGAGTGGCTTCGGAACAAGTCTCAGAATGTCCTTGAGTGGCCCAGCCAGAGCCCGGAATTGAACCCGATCGAACATCTCTGGAGAGACCTGAAAATAGCTGTGCAGCGATGCTCCCCATCCAACCTGACAGAGCTTGAGAGGATCTGCAGAGAAGAATGGGAGAAACTCCCCAAATACAGGTGTGCCAAGCATGTAGCGTCATACCCAAGAAGACTCGAGGCTGTAATCGCTGTCAAAGATGCTTCAACAAAGTACTGAGTAAAGGGTCTGAATACTTATGTAAATGTTATTTAAAAAAAATCTTAATATATATATATCTATATATATATATATATACACACATTTGCAAACATGTCTAAAAATGTGTTTTTGCTTTGTCCTTACGGGGTATTGTGTGTAGATTGTTTTTTTCCCTCCTCAATGTAATCAATTTTAGAATAAGGCTGTAATGAAACAAAATGTGGAAAAAGTCAAGGGGTCTGAATACACTGTATATATAACCATGACAAAATGATTAAAAGGTTAAGCTAGATTCATTTCAACTGTCAAAAGAAGTCGGTTTGTTATTGCAAAGCAGAACCATGTCGAGGTTGCAATGATAAGACGATGAAGATAAGGGCTTCTGAGGGTATGGTGGGTCACCTGACTGCTGTGCTGTACTTACATGGATGAGCTGCACCAGCACTGGCTCCAGGTTACAGAAGGTGGCCCGGGCCTCCACACAGAAACTCAGCTGCTGCTCAAAGTCACGGCCAAACGACACCTGGAGAGAGAGTCGGAAAAAAGAAAAGAAAGAAAGAAAGAAAGAAAGAAAGAGAAAGAAAGGAAGAAATAGAAAAAAGAAAGAAAGAAGAAAACGAAAGAAGAAGAAGAATAAATAAGAAAAAGAAAGATAGAAAGAAAGAGAGGAGAGGAGAAGATAGCTCTGATCATCCTCTTCTCTCTCTCTCTCCAGAGACTCTCTCCCTCTCTCTCTCTCTCTCTATCTCTCTCCTCGTCTCTCCCTTTCTCTCTCTCTCTCTCTGATGAGAGAGGAGATATGGCTGAGTCACTCTCTGTCACCCTTGGAAATGCAGGAGGAGAAGGAGTGTCTGGAGACCCAGAGGTGGGGTAGTCTGTCAGACACTCACCATGCGTATAAAGCCATTGATCAATAAGGCCAGAGATCTCTTCTCATCCTCCAGAGTCAGAGCACTAAGGGACACAGAGAGAGTAGGATCATTTATAACATACACACAAGCACGCGCACACACGGTTGGATACTTACTTGACAGAGTCGTGCATGGTCTTGCAGACGTGGAGTAGAGCATTGAGGATGACAGGGTCTCTAGTGGGCTCTTGCTGGTGTCTGAGGAGACAGACACAGACAGACATTAGGTATAGACACAGAAGCAAACTGACTTCACACATACAGTGAGGGAAAAAAGTATTTGATCCCCTGCTGATTTTGTACATTTGCCCACTGACAAAGAAATGATCAGTCTATAATTTTAATGGTAGGTTTATTTGAACAGTGAGAGACAGAATAACAACAAAAAAATCCTGAAAAACGCATGACAAAAATGTTATAAATTGATTTGCATTTTAATGAGGGAAATAAGTATTTGAACCCCTCTGCAAAACATGACTAGGTTCTTGGTGGCAAAACCCTTGTTGGCAATCACAGAGGTCAGACGTTTCTTGTAGTTGGCCACCAGGTTTGCACACATCTCAGGAGGGATTTTGTCCCACTCCTCTTTGCAGATCTTCTCCAAGTCATTAAGGTTTCGAGGCTGACGTTTGGCAACTCGAACCTTCAGCTCCCTCCACAGATTTTCTATGGGATTAAGGTCTGGAGACTGGCTAGGCCACTCCAGGACCTTAATGTGCCTCTTCTTGAGCCACTCCTTTGTTGCCTTGGCCGTGTGTTTTGGGTCATTGTCATGCTGGAATACCCATCCACGACCCATTTTCAATGCCCTGGCTGAGGGAAGGAGGTTCTCACCCAAGACATGGCCCCTAGTACATGGCCCCGTCCATCGTCCCTTTGATGTGGTGAAGTTGTCCTATCCCCTTAGAAAGAAAAACACCCCCAAAGCATAATGTTTCCACCTCCATGTTTGACGGTGGGGATGGTGTTCTTGGGGTCATAGGCAGCATTCCTCCTCCTCCAAACACGGCGAGTTGAGTTGATGCCAAAGAGCTCCATTTTGGTCTCATCTGACCACAACACTTTCACCCAGTTCTCCTCTGAATCATTCAGATGTTCATTGGCAAACTTCAGACGGCCCTGTACATGTGCTTTCTTGAGCAGGGGGACCTTGCGGGCGCTGCAGGATTTCAGTCCTTCACGGCGTAGTGTGTTACCAATTGTTTTCTTGGTGACTATGGTCCCAGCTGCCTTGAGATCATTGACAAGATCCTCCCGTGTAGTTCTGGGCTGATTCCTCACCGTTATCATGATCATTGCAACTCCACGAGGTGAGATCTTGCATGGAGCCCCAGGCCGAGGGAGATTGACAGTTCTTTTGTGTTTCTTCCATTTGCCAATAAGAAGGTGACTGGTGAGAAGGTGATTGTTGTCACCTTCTCACCAAGCTGCTTGGCGATTGTCTTGTAGCCCATTCCAGCCTTGTGTAGGTCTACAATCTTGTCCCTGACATCCTTGGAGAGCTCTTTGGTCTTGGGCATGGTGGAGAGTTTGGAATCTGATTGATTGATTGCTTCTGTGGACAGGTGTCTTTTATACAGGTAACAAACTGAGATTAGGAGCACTCCCTTTAAGAGTGTGCTCCTAATCTCAGCTCGTTACCTGTATAAAAGACACCTGGGAGCCAGAAATCTTTCTGATTGAGAGGGGGTCAAATACTTATTTCCCTCATTAAAATGCAAATCAATATATAACATTTTTGACATGCGTTTTTCTGGTTTTTGTTGTTGTTATTCTGTCTCTCACTGTTCAAATAACCCTACCATTAAAATTATAGACTGATCATGTCTTTGTCAGTGGGCAAACGTACAAAATTAGCAGGGGATCAAATACTTTTTTCCCTCACTGTATAGTGTGGAAGAGACATTGAGCTTGGGAGACATTAGCTACGTAGCATGACAACAGCAAAGGTGTTGGCTAAACCAGACATACTTGATGAAGACGTCCATGATAGAGCGACACACCTCCACCCTGACGCTGTCCTTCTGGAACATGTCCATGAAAGGAAGGAAACGCTCCTGAGGGGGAATCACAGAGAAACTAGTTAGATCTATCCACTGATAAACACAAGTGATTGTTTGAGACTGGAGAATGTCAAACCAAGTCTTACCATGGAGAAGAGGACAGAGAAGTCATGAAAGTAGGTGAGGATCTTCCTTATCACGGACTGAAGCTGCGGATAGGCATCTTCAAAGGCCCGGTCCGGGGTCATGTGCTTGATGATGTCAGAGAGCACAGTGTTGACCTCACGTTTCTTAGAGTAAGACATAGAAAATAAGGATTAAATAGCATGACTCATTTAGAGACCCTTGTGCTTAGAACTCTTTCATTGGCAGCTCTGTAATTCTCTGGGACACTCACAGTGAAGTGACGACAGGTGAACTCCACCCAGATCTCAGCACAGTTGATGTAATCCTGGAATAACATAATGAAACATTTACAACAATTTGTTAATGTGAACCACCAAGCATGTCTTCATTGTCTAAGAGGGTTATTAGTTGTTATGTACCTGTGGACTGCGCACTTTGGTGATGACCTTCCAGGCCTCGTTGAGGATGGGCAGCCTTTCTGCCTCAGGAGGGTCAGCACAGGCCAGACTGCGGCCCAGAGAGCCAAACAACAGGTGCTGAAGGAGGACAGAATGAAGAGTAAACAACACAGATAACAGATAAAAGCTATATTGGAGGCAGAAGGGAGGGGCAACAATGCTATGTTTGGATGTGTCTAACCTTAGGGAATCCTGCCTCATCACAATCCTTGATCATAGTGAATGTGGATGTGTCTAACCTTAGGGAATCCTGCCTCATCACAGTCCTTGATCATAGTGAATGTGGATGTGTCTAACCTTGGGGAATCCTGCCTCATCACAGTCCTTGATCATAGTGAATGTGGATGTGTCTAACCTTGGGGAATCCTGCCTCATCACAGTCCTTGATCATAGTAAATGTGGATGTGTCTAACCTTGGGGAATCCTGCCTCATCACAGTCCTTGATCATAGTGAATGTGGATGTGTCTAACCTTAGGGAATCCTGCCTCATCACAGTCCTTGATCATGCCGATGAAGTCGGTGGCTCTCGTCGCGATAAACTCCGCCCTGAACGCCCACATCACCGAGTTCAGCAGCAGGGCACTGTGGGAAATCAACATTAGTTGAGACTCAATGCCCAGGTTTGGCTTCCTGTATATAATATCCTGTACATCTAGTTGGTTTTTCTATGAAACTTCAAAACCGAACGGTTGCCTCGGGTAAGGTTAAGGGGGGTGTATCTTTGTTAACAACAGCTGGTACACAATCTCTAATGTTAAGGAAGTCTCAAGTTTTTGCTCGCCTGAATTAGAATACCTGCAGACCATACTATTTAACAAGAGAGTTTTCACCTATACTGAAAAAAGATATAAACACAACATGTAAAGTGTTGGTCCCATGTTTCATGAGCTGAAATAAAAGATCCCAGAAATGTTCCATATGCACAAAAAGCTAATTTCTCAAAAATGTTGTCTATTTACCACCACAAACCGATGCTGGCACTAAGACTGCACTCATTGAGCTGTATAGGGCCATAAGTAAAGAAAATGCACATCCAAAGGTGGTGCTCCTAGAGGCTGATGATTTTAATGCAGGTAAACTGAAATCTGTTTTACCAAATTTTTGAAAGCATGAAACCTGTGCAACTAGAGGCGACAAAATTCTAGATCACCTTTACTCCACACACAGAAACGCATTCAAAGCTCTCCCTCACCCTCCCTTTGGCAAATCTGACCATAACTCTATCCTCCTAATTCCTGTTTACAATCCAAAACTCAAACAGGAAGTATCAATGACGCACTCAATATGGAAGTCGTCCGATGAAGCGGATGCTAAGCTACAGGACTCTTTCGTTGAACACAGACTGTAATATCTATCGGGATTCATCCGATAACATTGAGGAGTTTACCACATCAGTCACCGGCTTCATTAATAAGTGTGAGCTAAATGCCGTCTATGCTCGCTTCGAGGCAAGCAACACTGAACCATGCATGAGAGCACCAGCTGTTCCGGATGACTGTGTGATCTCGCTCCTCGGAGCCGATGTGAGTAAGACCTTTAAACAGATTAACATTCACAAGGCCGCGGGGCCAGACGGATTACCAGGCTGCGTACTCGGAGCATGCGCTGACCATGCGCTGGCCTCACACGACTCCAACACCATCATTACGTTTTCTGACAACACGATGGTGGTTGGCCTGATCACCGACGATGATGAGACAGCCTATAGGGAGGAGGTCAGAGACCAGGCAGTGTGGTGCCAGGACAACAACCTTTCTTTCAACGTCAGCAAGACAAATGAGATGATCGTAGACTACAGGAAATGGAAGGCTGAGAACGCCCCCATCCACATCGACAAGACTGTAGTTGAGCGGGTTGAGAGCTTCAAGTTCCTCGGCATCCACATCACTAAGGAATTATCATGGTCCACACACACCAACACAGTCGTGGCACGACAACACCTCTTCCCCTCAGGAGGCTGAAAATATTTGGCATGACCCCTCAGGTCCTCAAAACGTTATACAGCTGCACCATTGAGAGCATCTTGACTGGCTGCATCACCGCTTGGTATGGCAACTGCTTGGCGTCTGACTGCAAGGTGTTACAGAGGGTAGTGCGTATGGCCCAGTACATCACTGTGGCCGAGCTCCCTGCCATCCAGGACCTCTATATCAGGCGGTGTCAGATGAAGGCCCTAAACATTGTCAAAGCCACCCAAGTCATAGACTCTACTCTCTGCTACCGCACGGCAAGCGGTACCGATGCACCAAGTCTGGAACCAACAGGACCCTGAACAGTTTCTACCCTCAAGCCATAAGACTGCTAGATAGTTAGTTAAATAGTTAACCAAATAGCTACCCGGACTATCTGCACTGACCCTTTTTGCACTAACTATTTCGATTCATCACATACACTGCTGTTACTGTTTATTATCTATCCTGTTGCCTAGTCACTTTATCCCTACCTATATGTACATATCTACCTCAATTACCTCATACCCCTGCACATCGACTCTGTACGTACTGGTACCTCGTGTATATAGCCAAGTTATCGTTAATCATTGTGTATTTATTCCTTGTGTTAATATTTTTGTATTATTTCTCAATTAAGCTTTTCACTGTTAGTCTACACCTGCTGTTTACGAAGCATGTGACAAATAAAATTGTATCTGTATTACAGTAACGTGCTCTGTCCTAAGCTCCACCACACAGTAACCCACTGCATCTGCCTTCTAAATAAATCCCTCTGGTGTAGAGGAGTACTCACTTATTCCCAAGCTTTTTGCACCTCTCCATCATCTCTGTTAGCAGGGCCTGCATTGGAATAATGGATGTCAAATACATGCCAGCGACTGTTATGGGGATGTCCCCAATACAGTAGCTATATAACTGTTACTGTGTCAACCTCACTCAATTCTTGGACCACTGTGGATGTGTTATGCTGGGTGGTAGTGTACCTCTGGTGCTCTGTAGGAGACACACTGCAGGATCCAGTGGATGGCGGGGGAGTAGAGGGTCAGGTAGACAGGGATCTCCACCCTCTGCAGGACCAGCTGGTTCTGGACACTGTCGCCGTGGATCTGACGGAACGTCCCCAGCAGGTCAAAGAAGTTCTTGTTCAGGCTGTCCTTCAGGTGAGGAGCCACCTCCATCCCAATCTGGCCAGAGAGATGGATGCAGAGAGAGAGGGGATTGGTGGAAATGAGTAGAGGAAGAAAATAGGAAGATTAGACAAAGAGAGAATTTATCCCATTCTCATGACTGAGCCAAAAGGGGTGGTTGAAATCTCTGTAAATGAGGGCAACCAAAGAGAGAGTTGAGAGAAAATATGTTCTAGTAGAAGCCAGTCTCACCCTACAGAGGTAGGCCCGGGCATACACGGCCACCAGGGGGTCCCCTATCCCCCGGATCATAGCTGTGAGGCGAGGCACCGTCTCCTGGATCCCACTGAGAACACAGAGAGAGGGAGCAAAAACATTGAACCGACGGCTAGAGGGATGAGAGAGTGGTGCTAGAGCAAGGTGGGGAAACATGGGAGGGATACTAACCACTTGGTCAAGAAACGGTTACACTTCAGGAGAGCTACCTCTACATATCTGTATGTGGAGTCAAGGATTCAACTCAAACCACTATGTAAGCATGTGATCAGAGACATAGGTATATACAGTGAGCTCCAAAGGTATTGGGACAGTGACACATGTTTTGTTATTGATACAAACAGATGCACAAATATCATACCCCCCAAACATTTTTTTGTAATGGTGAGAGGTTAACATGTCTTGGGGGTATATTTGTGCATCTGTAACTTTCTCACTCATCATTATTCACGATTAATTCAGGACTATCCGTAATCATTGTAGCATCCACATTAAACATCCGTAATCATGGTAGCATCCACATTAATGTAGAAGTGTTTGGAAATATATTATATTCTTATTTACAATAAATGTGACTCAAAAATGACACTACATTATTTACTATTCATTTCTATAGGGTACAAAATAATCTGAAACAAACAGAAAATGCATCCAACAAGTTTGTAGAGTCACAAACATGATGCATTCATTGCATGCTAGGAATATGGGACCGAATACTAAACTGTTGACTACTTTAATACACATAAGTGAATTTGTCCCAATACTTTTGGTCCCCTAAAATGGGGGGACTATGTACAAAAAGTGCTGTAATTTCTAAACGGTTCACCCGATATAGATGAAAAGACCCTCAAATTAAAGCTGACAGTCTGCACTCTAAACTCATAGTCATTGTATCACTTCAAATCCAAAGTGCTGGAGCACAGAGCCAAAACAACAGAAATGTTTTCACTATCCCAATACTTTTGGAGCTCACTGTATATGGTAACTCTGTGTATGTATGAATGACTGAGTGTGTTACTAGAAGGTTGATGTATATAATAAAGGATACAGTCGTGGGATGAGTTCTCTGATGGAGGCGATTTTGAAGAACCAGTTCAGGCAGGTCTCCTTGGCCGTGTCATGCACTTCATCAGCTGTAAAGGAGTCTGGAGAGGGATCAGAATAAATAATAACTCAAAAAGGAAGGACCACGGAGAGCACTTGGTTTGACACACAGACGTGACAGATAGACAGACATACAGGACATACCTGGTAGGGGGCGAGGGTCAGAACACATGGACCAGATCCTCTCATACACCAGAAGTCCTAAGAGAGAGAGACATTTTGGTTACCTAAAACAATGTGACCCCTTCCTGACAATAATCAAAGCCACTACAACATCCAATGTGAAAAATTGACCTATGTTACTATAGAATGCCCTGATATTAAGTGAAGTGAGAGGCCAGTCCTAAGTACTTACCAAAGGTGTCCAGAATGTCTGTGATGAGGACAAACTTGCTGGGGTAGAACTGAATCACAGCTGTGTCTGACAGCAGCTTGGAGCACTAGGATGCACACATACAATGACATAGACACAAAACCTATCAGAATAACGTTGTAAATATATTACATTGTAATAGATTTGTTATAAGTATTGCAGTTCTGACCTGGATGACGATCTTGAGGGCCTTGACCTTCTGGTCGGAGGCCCAGGCCTCTTTTAGAGACTGGTTGAGCTCCTCAATACGGTTCACATAGTCCTGCTGGGACAGATTCAGCAGCTCCCGCTGAGACCCCTAGCAACACACACACAACATTAGAGACGTAAACACTAACATTCTTGAAAACACAACTCAACAGAGAATGTTCTGGCTGTAGATCCATTCTGCTGTACTTACCTCTTCCAGATCATCCAGCTCCTCTAGGCGAGTTCGCACCTTCTCCGATACAGCAGAGGAGGCAGGACTGGGAGCCTTGCCTGAGAATGACAGAAGTGACACAACAATGCATGTGTGTTTGGGTTTTTTGTCTAGACTCAATCGAGCAAGCTTTCATAATAGGGGGACTGGTATATCAAAGACTATAAATGTTGGAGTAGAATTACCTTTATCTGAGCCCATGAAGAGATTCTGTCAAAAAACAATAGAGAAAAGTCAGTCTTAGTCCCATTACCAAGGATGGGAAAGGGGAAATGTTTCTCTTTGAGGGATCTTAAAGCACAATCATTACTCACAATGGAAAGCTTCTCAGTGGTAGTAAACCTGGCCAGGATTTCTCCCCGTTTGGATGACCACGGCTCAAAGTCCACTCCAACCTCATCCTCCTTCTCCTTCCTCTTCCCTCTACCAAAGTCCTGAACAGAGTGCAGAAAAAATAATTGAGAGAAAGAGAGCGAGAGAATGAGAGAGAGGAGGAAATTGTGCATGTTGCATAATTTTAAGAGACAATGCCTCCATAATGAGACACAATAGAAATATCAGATCCCCCATCACCGTTGTCCCACGTTCAACCTCCCTTCTCCATCTGTCCCTCAGTGAGTATGTCATTCTATCCACACCCCAGTGAATCACTCACCCCAGTGGAGCTGCTCTGTGAGAGGGTTAGGGGGGGCTCGCTGGCGGAGGCTGCAGCAAACATGGACAGGGGGTCCATTCCATCCAGCATGGAGCTCAGGGGATCCGGTGCCACAGAGCTGGAGGAGGAGGAAGTGCTGCCTTTACGCGCTCCCCTCCGCGACTTGGAGTCTGTCACCTGTGTGGTATGTATGGATGGATGGAGGGGGACAAGTTGTTTACTACTGAGCTATACACACACACACACACACACACACACACACACACACACACACACACACACAGACAGAGAGAGAGAGAGAGAGAGAGAGAGAGAGAGAGAGCGCTATGCTCAAGTGATTAGAAACATGTTCTATGGTAGGACAGTACACTCTTGCATTAATGATGATGGTGTGAAGAAATCAAGCCTACATACAATAAGTATCAATTTCTTTGCCACATATGCCCACCAACATACATACAGCACATATGGTGTGCATCAACAACATACTGTGCCCTACTCACAGTGATGGACTTAAGGGGATGGTAGTCACCAAACTCCACTGGGGCGACCTCCAGGCCACAGCTCTGCAGTTCAGCCTCATACCTGCGTGCACGAGAGTGCCTGTCGTAGAAAACATATGTTACAGCTTGATTTACTCACAGGTCTCTGTAATAAACCTGCATTAATACAAACAGAGCACAATATTAGCAAAATATGAGGATCCTGCACGTAACAGAAGTGTGTTCTTTTTCAGATTGTACTTTGATGCAGAATGTTATACTAGCTGACATCGAGATAAAAAAAAAAGGTTGACAGCTCGTGACTAGTTATGACAGCAAGATCAGGCAGACCACACGCATTTTCATTAGTTTTTATGCATCTAGCTATGTTGATTTAATATCAATTTCATACTCTTAAGATTTAAAGGACACCAACAACAGATTTTGGATCAGAAAGATGCATCTTACCACTGCACAGCAGCCATTTTTCTTCAGTCATATGACGTTTACACTTCCTGGTTGTAGTACTAATTTTGAGACAACGCTGTTTTCTCCTCTAATAAGAGATTAGTCCACATTTTATTTATAGTACTCATTAAACATGAAAACCCAAAAAGGATGGATGGCTTAGCGTAACTTGAATAGATCAACAGATCAGTAGGGAACGGTTTTATTGACATTTTGAAGAGTACGAAAAAACTTAATTTCCCAAGATGCAATGCGTGCTCAGGGGGCACGACGTCTCGATTATTTTTTTAACAGAAGAAAGCAAGCTACCAAAGGCTAAAGTGCATCCGCTCAAGATTTATAATGTTTTGCTCACTTTGTTAAATCTCTGAGTGTAGCTAACATTTCACAGTTATGACTTCAATGTCATTGCATTTAACCTAGCTGGTCCTATCATTTCAGAAGATACGTTAAGGTGAGTGGAATATTTTGATTATTGGCATATCAATAGTGTCAGTAATTAGCTAGCTATAGCTAGCCGTCATAATTGGCAATATTTTGCAATCAACACACATCTCAGATTGTATTCTCATGTAGCGGTCTGCCTGTGGAAAACTCTGCTATCAAGATTGCCAGGCAGGTGGAGTAGCTATAGCTGGCTAACGTTGCTCGCACCTCGCACACTATTGTTTATTCAATGTGGTAGCCAGCGGCAACAGCAGCAGAGATTGACAGAACCCTGTAAAATACAGACCTAAATAGTAGTTAGGCCTATGTTATTTGTACAGTCAGCACAGAGTAGCAGACATTCAAAATATGTTGACAGCGTTGATGGTGTGATCATATAAATATAATAATTTAGGATGTGATAGCTACTTACTGTTCATTTGTGACTGGATTAACATTCTATGTTGTGGATTGTTCTCTTAATATGTGAATGTCTGACCATTTGCATCCCCTCGGATTGTATAATTAGGTCATTTTATGCAGTATAATGACCCCAATAAGCAACTCCATCATTCCCTAGTTCCAGTGCTGTCAACACAGGGGCAAATCTCTACACTGAGGACTGAAAACGTTCCACTGGGAGTAAAGAGACACACAGCAGTGGCAGTGTGGCACAGAGAGAGAGAAAGGTCACAAATGAGCAGAAACAACAAACAGACTGTGCCCATTTGGAGTCTGTGCAGTTTTCCAATTGCCAGGCCTGTGCTGCACACACAGAGGCTAAGCCAGTCTCAGGGACAGACAGGGCAAAGAAAAGCTCATTATCCGGGCAGAGCAGAGGAGACTATTTCCTTGCTGAGAAGATTTGAGGGTTGCCATAGCAACTCTCTGCCTTACTTTTTTTAAACCCCCCCCAGATAAATATCTTAATTGTTCTGTTTTAAAACCCAGAATTAAGGGGTTAATCTCAGATTGAGAAAAACTAGCTTTCTGATGGTCCTGTTCAGGTTTAGAGATTGATTGCATGTTTAAATAATATTGATATGGGTTTGTTCCAATATGTCACTCTGTACTCTACCTCTGGTTAGCAGGTGTAGTAGGTAGCCTAGGTAGTCATCAACAGCCTGTTGATTTGGCTGGAAATCGTCCCTACTCTTTTCTAGTTCCACACAGCCTTTCAATGACTTTGATGGCATGCAGCCATATGCCAATCAATGATCTCATTAATACTGGTTGACCTCGTGTTCACCTGTTGGCGTTATGACATTTCTTTCATTCCATCTGCGGCGCTTGTAAAGAGGGATCACACATACTCCCTCTGCATAATGACAAAAGAGGGGCAGTGTTGTAGACCAAATGGCTGGCCACAGTGACGGTCCCAGCACTAATAATTGATTATTAGGCCATACACATTTATTTAAGTCTTTAACAGATGCCCCTCTTCACTTTTCTCAACATTTATTTTAGTTGAAAAGTTGTACTGAAAATTGCACGATTTATATCAAAAATAATGTCCTCAAGCTTCCAGTAAAGAGATACACAACATTCCCTTTCGGATTATGGCTGAACTATGACTAAAACCTCTTGAATAGGTTGCTAGGTGTCGAACTAAAAGGTTGATATAGAGCAGGGATGGGCAACTGGTGGCCACCCCTTTTAAAAACCAAAAATGCTGAAGTGTCGGGGTCTCAATTTGCTGTTGAGGGTTACAATAGTAGAATGCACAAGGTGCAATTTCGAAATGTGGTTGTGCATCTGCAGTTTCTCTTATGTCAGTCACTGACAGTCACTCAATTAGCCCATGTAAGCTAAAACCATTTTGATTGGGAAATTAGTCTAGCCAGCTATATAAACTTGTAGTAATCATGGTCAAATTACTGACTGGGGGGCTCCCATTGATGTTGTTAGTCACTCTCACTCAGATATCATATTACAAACTGCAAATATTTCTCTCCACCCCATAGCAAAATGAGTATAATTATAATAATAATAATAATAATAATAATAATAATAATAATAATAATAATAATAATAATGAGGACTAATCACAATAATCCCTAAAGAGTTTGAGAAAATAACGTTGATGCATTCAAAGATGGCCACGCTAAAATGTACTAAAAATACTTTAAAAATCTTCTTCTCATGAACCATAGGACCAAATGACACATTTGGAATGAAGGCCCATGGTACATGTCTTTACTCAGTTTGAGAAAGCTAAGGGATTAGTTAAAAGATGGCTGATTTATTGACAAATCAAAAATCTGATTTTACTTGTCCATTTAAACAACTGTAAATCCACTCCACAGTGGCCTATCAACTTGAAACTTGTCGTCGCTATCATGAACGTCCCTAAAATGAACCACACTGAATTTGGTATTGATATATAAAAAAACAAGGAAACTATTAACAACTCATTATTTTCTTATGTAACGCTTATGCTCAAAATCATCTGCAATCATCTTCTCATGAACCATACATCAGATTCACTCCAGATTTTGTATTTAGACGCATTACATTAGTCTTGAATGGTTCTGAGAAAAAATAGTTGCTGCATTCAAATATGGCCGCACTTTACATATAGATGCACGTATGCTAATGCTAAAAATACTTTAAAAATCTTCTCATGAACCATAATTCAGATTGACTCCATATTTAGTATATAGACTCAATTAATTAGCCTCTAATGAATTTGAGAATGATTAGTTGCTGCATTCAAAGTCAGCGACGCTACAACACTAGATGACACCATATCACACCAGGGCTATAAGAACTGAACCGATGGACATGGAAACATGACACTTGGTATGTAAACCTTATGTACAGTGCATTTGCAAAATTTCTAAAAACCTTTTTTTGCTTTGTCATTATGGGGTATTGTGTGTAGATTGATGAGGGAAAAAATCAATTTAATCCATTTTAGACTAAGGCTGTAACGTAACAAAATGTGGAAAAAGTCAAGGGGTCTGAATACTTTCCGAATGCACTGTATATGTCCTTAAAAGCTGTGTGAATATAAAGTCACTGCAACCAGTTGGTGGTACTATAGATTTCATTGGCACCAGTGGCATCATAGGATACTAGAGCAATAACTAATTGGTCAAGTGGACTTTGTCTCATGCAAATTATTGTTAGATTTAAATTATGCAGACGAACAATGTGAAATATTGTGATTAGTATATCTGTATAGTCACATTGTTGCCCTATTATGTGGTCTGAACATAGGAGAAAGTGGATATTTTATTCAGGAAAATTTGAAACCGGCAGTCCTGCCGCTTGCACAGTCAGCATAGGCGTATATATTTATAAATATTTTTATATATATAACTAAATACATTAAGTAATGACTTTAAGAAAACCAACCTACAGCACTAGACTAAATTCACTTGCGTCATCCGTGTTATTGAGAGATAAACATGGTAATGTTTCATTGATTACACATAAAGGAAGATTGTTCCCACATGATAGTGCTTGCTTTGTTATCCAACTCATCTCGTCCTTTCTGTCGTCTTATGAACCCCGTTCATTGCTGCTCGCAGCTTTATATGTTATTCGCTCTCGCTTGCCTCACTTTTCAAAAAATGAGATCTGTTAAACATTTAATAAAATGTGTATGGCCTTAGCATTCTGGAGAGCCTTAGTGTTCTGGTGTCCACTTATTCCCCTCTTAGGAAATTCATCCTTGGGCTTTTGGTGTCTTATAAGGTTACCGGTTTTGCATACCCAATGTCTTTCTATGGAAGGCTTGGCCACAGAACTGTATTTCTCATGCATTATTAACAGTATAAGTTTTGTGAGAGTGGATGCACTTATTACCTGATAGCCCTGTCCTATTTTCTGGGCATGCGTGATGCGTCCTTTGGCTCCAATGGAAACAGCACTCACCTGGATTTAATTACTTTAATGCCTTGTCTTCGCTCCATGGAGAGGAAGACCATGCGCTGAGCAGAAGTCTCTCTTGATGAGCTTCTATTGACAAGGGCTTTTTTTAGGTCTTAGAGAGTTGGTTGTTTTTGTCTGTCTCTCAGACAATAGTTCCTTCATAGGTGAGTTTCTGGGGGGTGGGGTTGGTTGTAGCATTTAATTGAGATGAGGGCCTTTTTTGGGGGGGGGAGAGTGGAATTCCACCCTCTTTGTATTTGATTCATGTTTTATTCAGACATTAGATTATTCAGACAGATACGAATTAAAGGGGGAACTTGATGAGGAGAGAAGGCATTGTAGGATGGGATTGAACCCTGGTCTCCGAAGTCGCAGTAAATGTCAAGAGCTGGGAGTGTTACCACTCGACCGTGGGTATTTTTCTCAAGGAAAGAGTGACGACGATGACATCATCTGCGATATGGATGGCCTTGCATTCCAAGTTGTTCTTTCTGGTCGTAGTCGTTTTTCACCTGCTTCTGTGTTGTGTGTCTGTCCGTGTGTGTGTGGAAGGCGGGGGCATGCGCAGCTGGAGGTGGCAGTTCTCCAGGGTGATGCGTCTGTGCCTGCGCTGGTGCCGGCTGTGCCCTAAGCGAGGGGGTCGACCCAGCAAGCCCCAGAGGAAGCTACGAGAGCTGTGGAGCTACTGGAAGCTGCTGCTCAACTCCCTCTACTTTAACAGCCTCACCAACTCTGACACCTACCTGGACTGTGTCTTTGAGCCCGTCTACTGGATAGTGGACAATGTGAGTCGCTGGTTTGGGGTGGTAAGTCAATGGATCACTTTTCTATCTAGATGTACAGTCAAAAAGCTTTGTTTTTATTGTATTTAATTAAATGTAGGCTAGTTAATCAAATCTCCCATGTTTGGTTACATTAATCTTTTTGCTATTCTATTTCTTTTCACACACAGTTTTTTCACCTTTCACGTTCCCTCATGAGTTTCTCCCTCTGTCTGTGTCCCCCTCTCCTCTGTTCCCAGGTGTTTGTGTGCCTGGTGATTGCCCTCACCAGCTCTGTGCTAGTCATTGTCTACCTGTGCCTGCTGCCTGTCATCCTCAGCACCTACCCACTGCAGTGGATCGTCTGGCACCTCACTTACGGCCACTGGGTCCTCATGATGGTCCTCTTCCACTACTACAAGGCCACCACCACCTCCCCTGGACACCCACCACAGGTGAGGTGCCCGCTCCAATGCCTGCAGAAAAACTGTTTTTGGAAAACACTAGGAAGACATAGGCTAAAGGCTTGATTCAGAAATAACTTCATGCCTTCTAGTTTTTTCTGATTGTTGTTTCTCAGGTTAAAAGTGAATCACCGTCAGTGTCCATCTGTAAAAAATGCATCGTCCCCAAACCAGCCAGAACTCACCACTGCAGCATCTGCAATACGTAAGTTAAGGACACTCCGTCAGTCATCAGATGATGTCATCAAGAAATACAAAACCTCTACTGGATAGCTCTAGTCCATGGCACAGGTCAATCACACTGTGTGACTTTCTCTTTCATTCCAGGTGTATTCTGAAGATGGATCACCACTGTCGTATCCTTTCTATCGAGACCAACAAACATCTCATCTCTTGGATTCCTTTAAAAAAAAAAAATTGTATAGCATTGTAAAACCCCAGGGGGGACAGTCATACAATTAAATCATCTTGCATTCCTACATGTTTTATCTTTGTTAGATCTGCCTCATTAACTTTGACCTTAACTTGCCTTGTGATGCTAGCCTGGCTCAACAACTGTGTGGGCCACTTCAACCACCGCTACTTTTTCTCCTTCTGCCTCTACATGACCATGGGCTGCATGTACTGCAGCGTCAGCTGCAAAGGCATGTTCATAGAGGCCTACAACGCAGTCGAGGTGAGGGAGATCAACAATGTCAACTTCTTAGAGGTTCTAGGAGGCTTGACATTCTGACTTTCAAAGACTATTCTGAGTACTGCCATCCATGTAAATCATGTCTTGTTAATGACATGTGGACCAAACACCCTGATTGAGTGAGGCCGCTTGGTTCATGACTGTTTGGGTAGAGTCTGGCATGTCTTTGCCATATTTTCCTTCTCTTATGTGCTAGGTATGGCATGGTCTTTTCATATAGGGGAGTGAAAGGCCATACATTCTGAGCAAGATGTGTAAAGTTCACTGCTGCTAGTTTAGCTAAAGAGACAGACAGCAGCTAAGCAAAGACAGCTAACAGACCACTAAGGGAGTTTTGAAATGTAGGGATCAAGGACATCAGATCACATGACACGTTTATCTTCAAGTCCACTGAGAAGGCTGGTGGTGTGCAAATAACTGGTGTCATTGTGTATATAACCAGTCAGATTGTTTCTTATGTAATCTAAAGCCTCCTGGCTCAAGATCACTTACTGTTCTCACACCAATCCGCCATGGTAAGATGGGAGTTTATATACTAATAGATCCTATGGCTCGGAGCCAACACCTCACTGTTTTAGATTTTAAAAAATGCTTCAATCGCTCTGACTTATGACACATTTTCTCTTTAGCTACAGAGAAGATGGGAGGTACCATTATATAATAATCACCCTGGCCCTATAACTCATCTAGCCTATAGTTTCCCTTAGTATTATGAGTTCCGATTGCGCTAGTCAAGAGCACTAACTTGACTGAAGCTGTGGTTGTGTCCCAAATTGTACTTTGTTCCCTATATAGTGCACTACTTTTGATCAGAGCCTTGTGGGCCCTGGTCAAAAGTAGTGCACTACATAGGGAATAAAGTGCCATTTGGGATTCAGCCAGTATATGAATTGACATTGTTCCACTAGCGCTTCCACCGCAGTGTGGATGGGGAGCCACAGGGGGAGCCAGCGATAGGAGTAGGGGACAGACTGCTCCTCAGACTCCTTGAGCTCATGACTGGCCAGGTAGTACAAAAGGTTCTTGAAACCACTGAGCTCAGAACTGGTGTGTTGACCAAAATTAAAAAGGCAGATTAATTTGTAGAGGGTCCGCACTCAAAAAATAGATTTTCAGAGTTCTTCCTTTTTGGCCAGGTAGGACAGACTGACAGGCTTTAAAGGTCCACTGGGCAGTGCTGGGTTCCACTGTCAATTAACAAACAACAAATAATTTGGCAATCATCTCCCTGTATAGTATGGAGTTTTATATGTGGCCGATTCCACGCCAGCGTAGTATTGTTGGTACTTGTAGAGTATGTTGTTCCAAACAATGTCTTTAAAGGACAAGTTTTATTTTTTACAACCAAATCTCAATTTTTTATGTAAATGGCATGTTCTAGAAGGGTCCAGACACCTTTGTCATGATTTCAAATGTTTTTGAGAAACAGCAAATCACTTCCTTATCCTCCTTTTGTAGTATGAACAAAATGAGGATACAGAGGCTCCAAAAACACCCAAATATGTCCTTTTAGAAACTGCAAAGCTCTCATTATAGTGATGCAGGTCTTTAAATGTTGTACACATGAAATTGTGTCATTCCGAACTTTATACGCAACGTTATATTCAATTTTGTTGCGACTTGAGCGATACCTCTCCATCCATTCGACAGGTAATTGCTGAAATAAAGGATAAATGAGGAATACAAAGTATATTGAAAGCATGGGGTGCTTCCAGACTTGTAGAATCTATGGCAAGGCGCATTGAAGCTGTTCTGGCTTGTGGTAGCCCAACGCCCTAGTAAGACGCTTTATGTTGGTGTTTCCTTTATTTTGGCAGTTACCTGTAGCAGCAGGCTACACAGAGAATGGAACAGCTGGATAGGGAAACGGCTCGAGTCACGCAAAACGGAATATAACATTGCAGATAAAGTTTAGGATTGACACAATTTCATGTGTACAACATCTAAAGACCTGCATCACTATACTGCTTTGCCGTTTCTAAAATAACGATTTTGGAACCTTTGTTCATGTGTTTTTGGGGCCCCCATACCACACAATGAGTATGGGGAAGTGATTTGCTGTTTGGGGTTAGTTTCTCAGACATGAAATCACAAAAAAAGGTGTCTGGATCCTTTTATAACATGCCATTTAGTTGTAAAAAAGAAAATATTAAGATAATCATATTTTTTATGTTGAATAAGACATGCATATTTTATAGCACACTATAAGGAGTATAATCACACCAAGATGTTGTCTGTATCATGTACGGTTCACAGATCATAGGGTCATACAGGAGGCATGTATAGGTACAGTGAGGGAAAAAAGTATTTGATCCCCTGCTGATTTTGTACGTTTGCCCACTGACAAAGACATGATCAGTCTATAATTTTAATGGTAGGTTTATTTGAACAGTGAGAGACAGAATAACAACAACAAAATCCTGAAAAACGCATGTCAAAAATGTGGCAAAACCCTTGTTGGCAATCACAGAGGTCAGACGTTTCTTGTAGTTGGCCACCAGGTTTGCACACATCTCAGGAGGGATTTTGTTCCACTCCTCTTTGCAGATCTTCTCCAAGTCATTAAGGTTTCGAGGCTGACGTTTGGCAACTCAAACCTCAGCTCCCTCCACAGATTTTCTATGGGATTAAGGTCTGGAGACTGGCTAGGCCAATCTAGGACCTTAATGTGCTTCTTCTTGAGCCACTCCTTTGTTGCCTTGGCCGTGTGTTTTGGGTAATTGTCATGCTGGAATACCCGTCCACGACCCATTTTCAATGCCCTGGCTGAGGGAAGGAGGTTCTCACCCAAGATTTGACGGTAAATGGACCCGTCCATCGTCCCTTTGATGCGGTGAAGTTGTCCTGTCCCCTTAGCAGAAAAACACCCCCAAAGCATAATGTTTCCACCTCCATGTTTGACATTGAGGATGGTGTTCTTGGGGTCATAGGCAGCATTCCTCCTCCTCCAAACACGGCGAGTTGAGTTGATGCCAAAGAGCTCCATTTTGGTCTCATCTGACAACAACACTTTCACCCAGTTCTCCTCTGAATCATTCAGATGTTCATTGGCAAACTTCAGACGGGCCTGTATATGTGCTTCTTGAGCAGGGGGACCTATGCGGGCGCTGCAGGAGTTCAGTCCTTCACAGCGTTGTGTGTTACCAATTGTTTTCTTGGTGACTATGGTCCCAGCTGCCTTGAGATCATTGACAAGATCCTCCCATGTAGTTCTGGGCTGATTCCTCACCGTTCTCATGATCATTGCAACTCCACGAGGTGAGATCTTGCATTGAGCCCCAGGCCGAGGGAGATTGACAGTTATTTTGTGTTTCTTCCATTTGCCAATAATCGCACCAACTGTTGTCACCTTCTCACCAAGCTGCTTGGCGATGGTCTTGTAGCCCATTCCAGCCTTGTGTAGGTCTACAATCTTGTCCCTGACATCCTTGGAGAGCTCTTTGGTCTTGGCCATGGTGGAGAGTTTGGAATCTGATTGATCGATTGCTTCTGTGGACAGGTGTCTTTTATACAGGTAACAAACTGAGATTAGGAGCACTCCCTTTAATAGTGTGCTCCTAATCTCAGCTCGTTACCTGTATAAAAGACACCTGGGAGCCAGAAATCTTTCTGATTGAGAGGGGGTCAAATACTTATTTCCCTCATTAAAATGCAAATCGATTTATAACATTTTTGACCTGCGTTTTCTGGATTTTTGTTGTTGTTATTTTGTCTCTCACTGTTCATATAAACCTGCCATTACAATTATAGACTGATCATTTCTTTGTCAGTGGGCAAAATGCTTTTTTTCCCTCACTGTAGGTCTAAAATGGGCTTTATTTGTTTTACATGATTTTCTCCAAAATGGTTTGTGATTAAAAAAAAGTACAGAGCATGTCAAACATCCTTCCTCCCAATTAAGTTTACGTGATAATTGCCAGAACAATCTGAGATACCAAAAATATTTTCGGCCTACGCTGGCATGGAATCACCCATGTTTCACTGCCCAGTGAGACTGCAGTTCACTCTTCAAGCCAGGCAAAGTCCCCTGTGATTGGTAGTTAGTTTTAGGTCCCTTGGCTGTGAACGGCTACTGACTTGGCATTTTGTGTTTTGCTTTTTTGCCACTAGTTGCAATTGGAGGACTGTAGATGTGCTACTGTTAACCCAGCTACTGTGTTTCCTGTTAGCCTTTTTGTGGTTCAATTCTGTAGAATACCCAGTGGAATCACATTTACTAATTAGAACTGCTGTACATGGATGGTCTTTTCACATTGTTTGGTTTTGCTTTCCCTCTAGAGCTACTATCAGACACCACCACCACTATTTTCCTTCAGAGAAAAGATGGTCCACAAGAGTGTTATTTTCATTTGGGTGCTAACAAGGTGAGACACATTTGTAACTGCAAAAAAAAAAAAAAAATCTACCAAAAAGTCAAGTGTTGTTGTTGTGAACAGCTATGGCTGTTCTATGTACACTATATATACAAAAGTATGTGGACACCCTTCAAATTAGTGGATTCGGCTATTTCAGCCACACATTGTTGCTGACAGGTGTATAAAATCGAGCACACAGCCATGCAATCTCCATATACAAACATTGGCAGTAGAATGGCCTTACTGAAGAGCTCAGTGACATTCAACGTTGCACTGTCATAGGATGCCACTTTCCAACAAGTCAGTTCATCAAATTTCTGCCCTGCTAGAGCTGCCCCGGTCAACTGTAAGTGCTGTTATGTGAAGTGGAAATGTCTAGGAGCATCAACGGCTTCACTCGAAAAGTGGTAGGCCTCACAAGCTCACAGAACGGGACCGCCGAGTGCTGAAGCGCATAAAAGTTGTCTGTCCTCGGTTGCAACACCCACTACCGAGTTCCAAACTGCCTCTGGAAGCAACGTCAGCACAAGAACTGTTCGTCGGGAGCTTCATGAAATGGGTTTCCATGGCCGAGCAGCCGCACACAAGCCTAAGATCACCATGCGCAATGCCAAGCGTCGGCTGGAGTGGTGTAAAGCTTGCCGCCATTGGACTCTGGAGTAGTGGAAACACGTTCTCTGTAGTAATGAATCGCGCTTTACCATCTAGCAGTCCGATGGACGAATCTGGGTTTGGCGGATTCCCGGAGATTGCTACCTGCCCGAATACATAGTGCCAATTGTAAAGTTTATTGGAGGAGGAATAATGGTCTGGGACTGTTTTTCATGTTTCGGGCTAGGCCCTTTAGTTCCAGTGAAAGGAATCTTTTTAATGGTACAGCATACAATGACATTCTAGACGATTCTGTCCTTCCAACTTTGTGGCAACAGTTTCGGGAAGGCTCTTTCCTGTTTCAGCGTGACAATGCCCCCATGCACAAATTGAGATCCGTACAGAAATGGTTTTTCAAGATCGGTGTGGAAGAACTTGACTGGCCTGCACAGAGCCCTGATCTCAACCACATCGAAAACCTTTGGGATGAATTGGAATGCCGACTGCGAGCCAGGCTTAATCGCCCAACATCAGTGCCCGACCTCACTAAGGCTCTTGTGACTGAATGGAAGCAAGTCCCCGCAGCAATGTTCCAACATCTAGTGGAAAGCCTTCTCAGAAGAGTGGAGGTTGTTATAGCAGCAAAGGCGTGACCAACTCCATATTAATGCCCATGATTTTGGAATGAAATGTTCGACGAGCAGGTGTCCACATACTTTTGGTCATGTAGTGTATATTCTCAAATAGACCTTTATCTTGAATTTAGTTTAATACAATTTACAGATAATCATGATCGCTGTTTTTCCTCCCTGCAGTTCAGTGGCAGTAGCTCTGGGAGGTCTGACACTGTGGCATGCTATCCTCATCACCCGAGGAGAGACCAGCGTGGAGAGACACATCAACAAGAAAGAGATCAGACGCTTAAATGAGAAGGGAAAGGTAAGGAATATTGGGGCTCTCAATGGATTTACCCAGATCTTTACCCAAATATCAACATGGTGTACCAGTTTGGAATTAGCGAGTAAAGCCTGTTTTTCTTTTGTAAGGTGTTCCGAAATCCATACCATTATGGGAAAATAAACAATTGGAAAGTGTTGTTTGGTGTAGAGGAGACAAGGTAAGCCCTCCAGATCACCACAAACGTCTAGACTGTTGTGAAACCTAAATGATTCTTCTTACAGAGTTGATTTGGCTTCCTTTTCTCACAGTCACTGGTTGACCAGAGTCCTCCTGCCATCTAGCCATGTTCCCCATGAAGATGGACTGGTATGGGAATTCCCTAAGGCTCTCACCAGAAGAGACCCCATGACCATCTAACCTCCCACTACTCACTGCTGCTGGCCAGTTTCTCATCTCCACACTATGGCCCAGAATCACTGCTATAGCACTGGCCCCTGGATGGTGGGGTGAACAGAGGACTTCTCTTAGCCTCTGAGGAGTGGATCATTTGGGCTTGATCGTGACCTGTATGTCCAGGCACCTCTGGGTGTTTGGGGACCTTAATCTGCACTCCGGTCACTGTCATGTGAAGTGTCATTTTCAACTGTCCTGTCTTGTGAACTGATTTTATGCTTTTTTTGTACTGGTAGGTATGTTGTCCAAAGTTGACAAAGTGTGCGCTTTTTAATTGTACTGAAGTCACACAAAAAGCAGTTTGGACTTTTTGGGTGCCAACAAAGAGCTTTTTTACCAAGGACTAGGTTAGAGCTAGATAACCACACGCCTTGGCCATTGTCCATCTATGGGTGAGTACTCTGGAGAGTTTTTGACAGAATTACATAAACTATTCATATTATCATTCAGGCTCTAGTTAGATTATGGTGCTCATATTACTGAGCAGTGCCCCAGTCAATATCCAGGGGAGACGTAATACTATGGGTGACCCTGTAAAACAACACATTTTGCTGCACCTATCTGGTGTATGTGACAAAACATCAACATTTATATAGGCATATTAGGAATTGTCATAAGATTGCTATGTGCCTTGTGAAGTTAAATCTTTAACAGGTGTTCATATTTGTTGATTATCAGGTACTAATGCAAAGTACAGTTTATTACTGGAATATAATGTAATTTGTAACATTATCCATTAATTATTCTCGCCCACATCACATATGGAAATTGATTTCCCCAGTAACCAACTTTAAGATCACTTAACCTGATTTAACATGGTTATAAGTGCTTGGATGCGTCAGACTTCCTCCCAGCTGGTCTCGTATGTGGCCACCATAGAATAATTCCTATAATGGTCGGGGAATATTTCTATAGTAGCCAGCCTGTAACAGCAGGGAGGGGCTACCTGGTTGCCACAGTGAAATAAATGACTCACTGTGATATGACCAATAGGAGCTGTGCTCCATTATTGTACATTGCACGTCTGTATCATTACGTTTGATATTAGCTTGTATTGTTTAATATTATGATAAAATGTTTTTGGAGATTTTGTCCAGCTTCTTTTTTGATTATTTTGTTGATTAAAGCACTCATACATTTACAAAAATTGTTTTATTGACGGCTTCAGTTAGACATTTTAAATATTGTCCACATCTTCGGCATATGTTTTTGTGAGGTTCAAAGTTAGTTGAAATGTGAAGCCAACCACATCAATCATTCTTCCAGTACTGAATACAAGGTTCACTTTTCAAAATGGCATCCTTGAGCCTTGTTAAGCACATTGCCCTTAATATGGTTAGATATATGCATAATACATTGTTAATAGGTCCTATGTTACACATTCATTAACATTCCTCTCCCCAATAGAAATGGTTCTCTTCTCTGTGCCAAGCTTGTTTCAGTGCAGCGCTGTCCTTCCATGGAGGGGCGGTTGGTTGTCACCCATAGGTCCATGCCACCATGCAGTGGTCAGTCATGGTAGAAGCGGTACAAAAAATTGATTTGTACATTTGAGTCATTTAGCAGACGCTCCTATCCAGAGCGACTTACAGGAGCAATTAGGGTTAAGTGCCTTGCTCAAGGGCACATCGACATATTTTTAACCTAGTCGGTTACTGGCCCAACACTCTTAACTGCTAGGCTACCTGCCGCCCGTGTGAAATCTCATGTACAAGGTGAAGTGCTGTGGGTGGTGGTGAGATGTCCTAGACTCTAAGGGCAGTGCTAGGGCCCCAAGCCTGGATCCAGGGCCTCTTCCTCAGGAGCAAGTTGTCCATCTGTCCCCTCCCACACCCAGTCAAGGATGGGGGGCCAAACTCACCTGCCTCCTGGACTCCCCAGTAGGAACCTTCAAAGGAGAAGAGAGAGACATTATAATGAAAACAACGATACAGAAATTCAGGGCCTGTTTTCTCATCAGGTTTTCCTGTCATATTGACATTCTGCCTTTCTTAGAAGATGAACAGGAATCACCAATGTTACATCAACAGATTGGCATGACTGACCCTAGCCCTTGCAGATATGAGAATGTTTGAAGAAATCTAATGCCTCACTGAGTCCAGTGTTGGGGGGGGGCTGTCCCTATGTTCCCCAGTAGAGCACTCACTGACTCACCATTCATTCCGGGCCACCACTGCCTCACTCCTCACCATCCTCTTGTGGTCGTCCAGGGGGGCAGCCAGGGCGCGCAGCACCCTCGCACGGAAGGGCATGATCTGCCAGGGGAAGGGTGGGTTTGTTAATGGCCAGAGTTCATATGAATCAGTTGGTATGGACAATAGCAATCACTTATTAAAGGCCCATCAGTCAGCAGACAGAGGTTATGTGCAGTGCAGGCCAGGGTCTTACCTCATGTTCTGGAAAGCGGGAGAGGGCATGGATACAACGCAGAGAGGCTATCCGCACTTTCTGTGAGGACGAGGAGAGACGGACCTCAGACACAGACTAAAAAAAAGTACCTTCATGAATGACGATAGTGTTGTGGCATTGTGTACTGTGTGGGGATTGGGGACTATGGTTACTTACCTTGGTCATGTTGCTGGACATAGCTAAAATACTGAACCGTCCAGATATCAAAGCGCCAAAAAGTGAAAGAATGTGCCAGTACAGTCGAGCAGCATTTCATTTGCAGGCACAGATGTATTGAATGCTCGCAATACGGCTGAGAGGTCTACCGCCGTTTCCGTTGTTACTATCAACGGAAGCTGAATCATCAATTTCTGGCACATTAAGAATAATGAGATACAAGGTCTGTGGGACAAGAGGCCCAACTCTAATGTCACAGAGAGAATACATCTCTGTCTGACACATGTTTTTAGACTCCCCTAGCTATTTCGCTTTCTTGGTGTGGTGGCTGTCATAACATGATACATACCATGGTAGGGCTTGTGGTGAGTGCCAGTGTGCGCCCCACCAGCACCTCCAGCTGGGTGGTGAGGGCTGAAGGGGGGTCCAGGAGGACAGGTTGCAGGCAGGACAGGGTAGACACCTGCACCCCCTGGTCCGGACACGACAGGGCCTCTAGCAGGAGGGGCAGGAGCTGACCAAACACAGGGGAGAATATAAAGGAGGACATCACCACGCGGTATCCATAAGATAACAGTGCCATAGTGAGAAATGATGCTCCTCACAGATGTACAAAATACACATTTCACATGGAATGAAATTCTCAAATGTGTTTTACATTTCAAGATATAAAACACAACATTCATGGAGAAATACATATTTCGAAGTCATTCCTGTTTTTGCTCCCGTCTGGCACTTGTCTATTCTGTGTCACAGGTCCCTCTCCTGTCCTGTCTTCTACTTACTGCTGGTAGCTCAGTGAGCTGGACCTGTCTGGGTAGGTTGTTCACTATGTGAGACAGTGCCTTCAAGTAGCCAGACTTCTTCTCTGCAGAGGGAGAAAAGGAAGGGAAAGTTAAGAATTGGTACAATGAACAGGACTCTCACAAACTGGTTAACCAGTTTCATCACAACACGTGTCCTGCGTCTGTAGTGCATTGTGAATGTCTCTTCACAGTACCTTGGACTACAGAGTTGAAGCCCTGGACCAGTTTGGCAGAGTTCTCGGTGAAGAAGCGCTGGCGGTACATGATGCGTACGTCGGCGTGGCTACCGCGGTTGAGGACGTCCGGCGAGTCGCTCATCAGGAGAGAGAATCCATCGGCCGCTAACGAACCCAGCTCTGAGTCACTGAGCAGGGAGAAGAGCTAAGACAGACACACAGGATTATTGCTGTGTGTGTGTGTGTGAGGTTACGGAGGTAGAGCCATTTCTCAAGCCTCGACTCATCCCTTAACCTCCACTGCTAAACTGAGGTGAACACAATACAAAAGGAATCAAACAAAGCTTTGTGTTCAATGTTCTTGGATTGAATATAATTATGACTAGACTTCATTATTACATTAGGCCAGGTTTTCTCCATGGGAGAAGAAACACTGAACAATGAACAAACTGCAGACTGTGTGTGTGTGTGTGTGTGTTAATCTGGGTGGGAGGACAAAGAGGACTCCTGTCCTTTACCTTGTCAGTCAGGGCTGTGGACAGAGGGTGGTAGCGGAGAAGCAGAGCCTTTGCCGCCTAAAGACAAGAAAGCCATTCACAACTGTATGAATGAATGGATGGAACAACACAACAATGTACAACAGGCAAGTCACCATTCACCCTGAAGGAGAAGGTCGTAGTAGTATCAGTGATCCCTAGTATAAAGACGGAGGGGTTATAGTGTGGGGAGTCCAGTAGGCTAAGTATTGGCTAAGGGGAATAGGGAACGTAATAGATCAAATCTTGTGTGAATGGATACAGTGGGGGAAAAAAGTATTTAGTCAGCCACCAATTGTGCAAGTTCTCCCACTTAAAAAGATGAGAGAGGCCTGGTACACGTCAACTATGACAGACAAAATGAGAAGAAAAAAAATCCAGAAAATCACATTGTAGGATTTTTTATGAATTTATTTGCAAATTATGGTGGAAAATAAGTATTTGGTCAATAATACTTTGTTATATACCCTTTGTTGGCTATGACACAGGTCAAACGTTTTCTGTAAGTCTTCACAAGGTTTTCACACACTGTTGCTGGTGTTTTGGCCCATTCCTCCATGCAGATCTCCTCTAGAGCAGTGATGTTTTGGGGCTGTCGCTGGGCAACACAGACTTTCAACTCCATCCAAAGATTTTCTATGGGGTTGAGATCTGGAGACTGGCTAGGCCACTCCAGGACCTTGAAATGCTTCTTACGAAGCCACTCCTTCGTTGCCCGGGCAGTGTGTTTGGGATCATTGTCATGCTGAAAGACCCAGCCACGTTTCATCTTCAATGCCCTTGCTGATGGAAGGAGGTTTTCACTCAAAATCTCACGATACATGGCCCCATTCATTCTTTCCTTTACACGGATCAGTCGTCCTGGTCCCTTTGCAGAAAAACAGCCCCAAAGCATGATGTTTCCACCCCCATGCTTCACAGTAGGTATGGTGTTCTTTGGACGCAACTCAGCATTCTTTGTCCTCCAAACACGACGAGTTGAGTTTTTACCAAAAAGTTATATTTTGGTTTCATCTGACCATATGACATTCTCCCAATCCTCTTCTGGATCATCCAAATGCACTCTAGCAAACTTCAGACGGGCCTGGACATGTACTGGCTTAAGCAGGGGGACACGTCTGTCACTGCAGGATTTGAGTCCCTGGCGGCGTAGTGTGTTACTGATGGTAGGCTTTGTTACTTTGGTCCCAGCTCTCTGCAGGTCATTTACTAGGTCCCCCCGTGTGGTTCTGGGATTTTTGCTCACTGTTCTTGTGATCATTTTGACCCCACGGGGTGAGATCTTGCGTGGAGCCCCAGATCGAGGGAGATTATCAGTGGTCTTGTATGTCTTCCATTTCCTAATAATTGCTCCCACAGTTGATTTCTTCAAACCAAGCTGCTTACCTATTGCAGATTCAGTCTTTCCAGCCTGGTGCAGGTCTACAATTTTGTTTCTGGTGTCCTTTGACAGCTCTTTGGTCTTGGCCATAGTGGAGTTTGGAGTGTGACTGTTTGATTTTGTGGACAGGTGTCTTTTATACTGATAACAAGTTCAAACAGGTGCCATTAATACAGGTAACGAGTGGAGGACAGAGGAGCCTCTTAAAGAAGAAGTTACAGGTCTGTGAGAGCCAGAAATCTTGCTTGTTTGTAGGTGACCAAATACTTATTTTCCACCATAATTTGCAAATAAATTCATTAAAAATCCTACAATGTGATTTTCTGGATTTTATTTTCTAATTTTGTCTGTCATAGTTGACGTGTACCTATGATGAAAATTACAGGCCTCTCTCATCTTTTTAAGTGGGAGAACTTGCACAATTGGTGGCTGACTAAATACTTTTTTCCCCCACTGTAGAATACTGCCATAGTAGTAATGTAAAGGGGGTCTAACCCAGAGCAGCAGAGTGAACGCCTGCGTTCTGACTGAGGAGGATGCAGAGTCTAGCTCAGTGGAGATCCTCTTTAACATTCTGTCTATCAGAGAGTCCAGGGCTTCTCCTGTAGACACACACACAAGATTAATATACCAGCTCACCAACATTAATTTGACCAATTCTCATTCAAATAAAGGACAGGACTGGAGGACTCACCTGCAGGCCTCTTGTTGACCAGCCCAGCGTAGCACTTGGCGGCTGAGGTGTAGGAGAGGGGATGGTTACAGGTACAGCTCAGCTCCTCTAGTTCTAACAGTAGTCTATCTATCTGGGGAACCTCCACCTGTCCAGGGCACACGGTCAGTCAGTCAGTCTACGATTACAGACTAAACCGAGCCATTAAATGTACATGATCGGTCAGGAGATCGTAACAAGAATGCAACATACAGTGCATACAGAAAGTATTCAGACCCCTTGACTTTTTCCACATTTTGTTACATAACAGCCTTATTCTAAAATTGATTAAATATGATTTTTTCATCAATCTACACACAATACCCCATAATGACAAAGTGAAAACAGGTTTTTTGAAATTTTTGCAAATGTATTAAATAAACAGAAATACCCGATTTACGTAAGTATTCAGACCCTTTGCTATGAGACTCGAAATTGAGCTCAGGTGCATCCTGTTTCCATTTATCATCCTTGAGATATTTCTGCAACTTGATTGGAGTCCACTTATGGTAGATTCAATTGATTGGACATGATTTGGAAAGGCACACACCAGTCTATATAAGGTCCCACAGTTAACAGCGCATGTCAGAGCAAAAACTAAGCCATGAGGTCAAAGGAATTGTCCATAGAGCTCCGAGACAGGATTGTGTCGAGGCACAGATATAGGGAAGGGTACCAAAAAACACCTGTTGTATTCGGCGCATGTGACAAATAACATTTGATTTGATATAAGGAAGACTGTTGATTCTGCAAATCTCCATCGCATGCTGATGACACAATTATTTATTCTAGCGCATCTAATATTGAGAAGGCTTTTCAGGACTTACAGTTGGCTTTTGATGTTATTCAAAGGCAGCTTTTTGAATTGAAACTTTATGGTTTTCTTTTCCCTGAAAGTAAACAGATAGTCACTTGCAGATTTTAACTATAAAAAGGCCAGCAATTGATAGGGTCACCTCCTATAAGTATCTTGGGATTTGGTTAGATGAAAAGCTGAATTTTAAACAGCACATTGATAACTTCACCAAGAAACTGAAGTTGAAATTGGGTTTCTATTTTAGGAACAAATCTTGCTTTTCAATGTTAGCCAGAAAGGACCTTGTTCAAAGCACTTTTTTTTTATCAGTGTTGGATTATGCTGATATTGTCTATATGCAGGCCTCAGTAAGTACCTTAAAAACTCTGGACACAGTGTATCATGGTGCTTTAAGATTCATAAAAAATGCTAGATCACTCACCCATCACTGTGATTTGTATGCTATGGTGCAATGGACCTCTCTCTCCACCAGGAGGCTAAAGCACTGGTACACTTTTGTGTACAAAGCATTGATGGGACAACTCCCTTTGTATCTCTGTTACTTACTGACCAGATCACTCACTCAATACAGTCTTCGTTCACAGTCGCTGCCGTCCTTGTCTGTTCCCAAGGCTAGAACTGAGATGGCGAAACAATCTTTTTCCCATAATGCCCCTTCATCCTGGAACATATTTCAAAATATATTAAATTTAGGGGAGTTAGTGTCCTTGCCTGTTTTTTAGACTCTGGTCGACAACACTGTTTGTGATAGCTGCAGTTGTTTCTAATCTTCAATTGTATCTGTAACTTGTCACACAGTCTTTTGTGTGTATTTTGTATTTTTCTGTAATATTTTATGTACACGCTGCTATTTTCCAGTTTTGCCTTCTTGCAAGGTCGCCCTCGCAAAATAGGTTTTTAACCTCAAATGGGTCTTACCTGGTTAAATAAAGGTCAAATAAAAAATTTATGAAAACCTGCTCCAGAGCGCTCAGGACCTCAGACTGGGGCGAAGGTTCACCTTCCAATAGGACAATGACCCTAAGCACACAGCCAAGACAACGCAGGAGTGGCTTCGGGACAAGTCTCTCAATGTCCTTGAGTGGCCCAGCCAGAGCCCGGACTTGGACACGATCAAACATCTCTGGAGAGACCTGAAAATAGCTGTGCAGCAACGCTCCCCAACCTGACAGAGCTTGAGAGGATCTGCAGAGAAGAAGGGGAGAAACTCCCCAAATACAGGTGTTCCAAGCTTGTAGCGTCATACCCAAGAAGACTTGAAGCTGTAATCACTGCCAAAGGTGCTTCAACAAAGTACTGAGTAAAGGGTCTGAATACTTATGTAAATGTAATATTTCAGTTTTAATTAAATAATTTAAAAACATATGTTTCTTTGTCATTATGGGGTCTTGTGTGTAGATTGATGAGGAAAAAAACTATTTTTAAATCCATTTTAGAATAAGGCTGTAACGTAACAAAATTTTGAAAAAGTCAAGGGTCTGAATACTTTCCGAATGCACTGTACGAGTATCCAGTGTAACGCAACAAACAGGTATCCTTTGTATGAACATTTAACAGTACAATGTAAAAAATATGTAATTTTGAAGTCTTGTCATGAGGTGCCAAGGCATAGGGGGCGGTCTTACACTCCGTGGCAGCGAGCACACACAACCCATGAGCAGACACACCATCTGGGACTGGCTCCAGGAGTCACCTGCCTGCTTCTGGAGGACAAGGTCAAAGGACAATGTCACTCAACACATTCAGCATACCACTCAGTAATACAATGCTCTATTTATTCCCAGTATGCATCCTGTCCCTGGGGTGTCCTCTGTAGGTATAACAGTGAAGAAAACATTTTCAAAAAGAGATGGCTCAGTGATGGCTGGTTGTCTTTAGCATTGAAACCTGACCTTGAGGAGCTGGATCTGGGAGGGGAAGGCGTTCTCTGGCAGGAAGGAAACGTCACCGTCAAGGAAGAGGGACACGGCCCGCGAGGCTGTTTGGCCAGCCAGTCTGGTGACAGAGCAGTGGTTAGCACCAAGCCAACATATTTACATATAACATAAATGTGCCATTATCAATTATGGGTGTGTGTGTCTCTTCTGGGTGGCTGGCTCTCTCAGTGATGTCAACTCACTGGGACTGTAGTCGGGCACAGGTGGTGCTGATGACAGGTACCATGGCTGACAGGACAGTCTCCTCCAGCATCGGGGTCCGATGGTGTGAGGACCCTTCATATACACACAGATCAGAAGCAGAAAAAGAGTGCTTTGTCTGTCCAACATCATGACGTGGAAGACATTTGCATTTAGTTTGCATAGATTATTTTTTATTTTTTTAATGTACGCTCTTATCCAGAGCGACTTACAGTTAAGTGAGTGCATACATTTTCATACTGGCCCCCCGTGGGAATCGAACCCACAACCCTGGCGCTGCAAACACCATGCTCTACCAACTGAGCTACATCCCTGCCGGCCATTCCCTCCCCTACCCTGGACGACGCTGGCTAATTGTGCGCCGCCCCATGGGTCTCCCGGTCGCGGCCGGCTACGACAGAGTCATATATTCGCTAAAACACCAACACATTCTCAGTACAAGCTTCCCTCGTAAAATAGATTTCTCATCTCAATGGACTTTCTGGTTCAATAAAGGTTGTACTTCCTGGTTCACATTACAATGTGTTGCACAGGCCTGAACGCTTGTGTTGGTCAGAATATTCTCACCCTGCAAAGCTGCCTGCAATGCCAGTCCGAGCAGACGCAGAATGATGTCATGGAAGACGCGACCGGTCTCTTCAGTGTCCTGGGCCTGCTCTGCTATCCTCTGCAGACTGTGGCAGACAGAGATCACCTCTTCCAATGAGAACGAACCAGTGCCTGTTGGGAGAGAGATTACATCATCATTGTCATCATCATCAGAATCTACTTCTACAACTTAACATAGATATTTAAAAGGGTCTACCAATACAATGACAGAAGAGCCTGTTGCAGTGACACATACCAGTATGTGCGGAGGTGAGGACCTGTAGCAGGACAGGTGTGCTCTCCTGAACCACACTGGGCCGGGACGACACCGCAGCCAGCGCCGTCACACAGCGCTGACGCACTGCCTGCTGGGTATGTTCCTGGGACGGCGTGGCACTGTCACCTTGTGCCATGGGCTCTGGGAGCAGGAGAGGAAATGGTTCAATTCAGTAACCCTCCTCTGGTTAGAATGATGTAACTGAAAACACGTAATGACAGAGAAGACCTTAACCCACCTGAGAAGATCTCCTCCTTCAGCCGTGGAACCATCTTAGAGATGAAAGCTGCAGGGTGCAGGTGAGCCAGAGCCCCTGCACACTCAACCACAGCCAGGCTGGACAGACAGGGAGAGACCGAGAGAAGGACCAAACCATTGTGTTATTTGGTTGATTAGGTATCATAGACTTCTGATTGCCCTCCCAGAGCGACTGAAAACGGGTACTAACCTGACTTTAGCATCTTCCTCCTCCAGGATGAGCCTGGTGAGGTGGTCAACGACCAGCTCCACATCTGACTCTAACAGAAGGCCTAGGAGAGAGGTGGAAGATGTCAACCTATACATCTCAGCATAGTAAGGGGAGATGTAGCACAAACCGAATGGCCAATCAAATGTATTCCCTATCCCACAGTAACAGGATAGCACAAGCTGAACGGCATGTGGCCAAAACCACATTCTGACCGATTCAAACCTGTGCAGCAGTGAGGTTAGCTCAAAAGGTCTCAAATATGTTGAGCGGGGTCAGGTATACACTACCAGTCAAAGTTTGGACACACCTACTCATTCAAGGGTTTTTCTTTATTTTTTTATATTTTCTACATTGTAGAATAATAGTGAAGACATCAAAACTATGAAATAACACATATGGAAATATGTAGTAACCAGAAAAGTGTTATATTTGAGATTCTTCAAATAGCCACCCTTTGCCTTGATGACAGCTTTGCACACTCTTGGCATTCTCTCAACCAGCTTCATGAGGTAGTCACCTGGAATGCATTTCAATTAACAGGTGTGCCTTCTTAAAAGATAGCCCTATTTGGTAAAAAAACAAGTCCAGGTCAAATGAGCAAAGAGAAACGACAGTCAATCATTGCTTTAAGACATGAAGGTCAGTCAATACAGAAAATGTCAAGAACTTTGAAAGTTTCTTCAAGACCCAGAGTTACTTCTGCTGCAGAGGATAAGTTAATTATAGTTACCAGCCTCAGAAATTGCAGCCCAAATAAATGCTTCACAGAGTTCAAGTCACAGACACATCAACTGTTCAGAGGGGACTGTGTGAATCAGGCCTTCATGGTCGAATTGCTGCAAAGAAACCACTACTAAAGGACACCAATAAGAAGAAGAGACCTGCTTGGGCCAAGAAACACGAGCAATGGACATTAGACCGGTGGAAATATGTCCTTTGGTCTGATGAGTCCAAATTTCCGATTTTTGGTTCCAACCGCTGTGTCTTTGTGAGACGCGGTGTGGGTGAACGAATGATCTCCGCATGTGTAGTTCCCACCGTAAAGCATGGAGGAGGAGGTGTTATGGTGTGTGGGTGCTCTGCTGGTGACACTGTCTGTGATTTATTTAGAATTCAAGGCACACTTAACCAGCATGGCTACCACAGTATTCTGCAGCGATACGCCATCACATCTGGTTTGGGCTTAGTGGGACTATCATTTGTGTTTCAACAGGACAATGAATCCAACACACCTCCAGGCTGTGTAGCTATTTTACCAAGAAGGAGAGTGATGGAGTGCCTCATCAGATGACCTGGCCTCCACAATCCCCCGACCTCAACCCAATTGAGATGGTTTGGGATGAGTCGGACGGCAGAGTGAAGGAAAAGCAGCCAACAAGTGCTCAGCATATGTGGGAACTCCTTCAAGAATGTTGGAAAAGCATTCTAGGTGAAGCTGGGGCGGCAGGTAGCTTAGTGGTTAAGAGCGTTGTGCCAGTAACCGAAAGGTCACTGGTTCTAATCCCCGAGCCGACTAGGTGAAAAATCTGTCCATGTGCCCTTGAGCAAGGCACTTAACCCTAATTGCTCCTGTAAGTCGCTCTTATCTGCTAAATTACTATAATGTAAAAATGTAAATGTAAGCTGGTTGAGAGAATGCCAAGAGTGTGCAAAGCTGTCATCAAGGTAAAGGGTAGCTATTTGAAGAATATAAAATATATTTTGATTTGTTTAACACTTTTTTGGTTACTACATGATTCCATATGTGTTATTTCATAGTTTTGATGTCTTGACTATTATTCTACAATGTAGAAAGTAGTAAAAATAAAGAAACACCCTTGAATGAGAAGGTGTGTCCAAACCTTTGACTGGTACTGTATGTTAATTGGAAGAGGGGTTGAAAGGTTAGGAGTGTCACCTGTCTGTTGGCCCAGAGCAGTGAGCAGACGCATAGATGTGATCTGGAGGTCAGCATTGCTCTCAGACAGAGCAGAGAATACTATACTGCACAGAGACTGCCTGAAGTCCAACAGCACACTCTCATCTGGGGGGGGGAGAGAGAGAGAGAGAGAGAGAGAGAGAGAGAGAGAGAGAGCTCAAAGACATTGCTCCTGCATTTTTAACAAAAAATATAGATTTAGAGTTAGATAAAGTAGGATTTTTTGGCAGGGACATATACAGGATGCTACCCTCCACAACATAACCTTTATTCCAAACCAAAACTCCAAACCTACAACCTGATTTTGGACGGAATTACCTCGAAAGCTTTCTACTACCAAGGATTACTATTCTCAAACTATACAGCAAATGCTCTGGAAAACAAACAGAAACCTGAAAACACCATCCAACCTGGAACTGAGTGAGTAATGTTTAGTATGAAGCTATTTTTCACTTTCAAAAACCAAGAAGAAAAATTCATTACAATGATATATTTTATATTATAAGGACTGAATTCTAAGGCTACCAAGCTTAAGCTTGCTACAAAGAGATACAATTTCAATTAGCACTGACGTGTGAAGTGAGAGGTGTCAAAGCCCTTGAGCCCAACAATGGCAGGAGAGTCGTACAGTCTACCCCAACTAGAGGCCTTAGAAGAGGCCTTAGAAGCAACCCCCCACTGTTCAGAGGTCATTAAAATACAGTACCCTCTGAATGTAAAAAACGACAAGACACGAAAAGAGTACAAATTGAAACTTCTTTTGGGGAAGCACGAGACACTTTTTGCTGATTTGTATAAAAATGGGAACATAAGCAACCTTATCTTCCACACAGACCATCCCCTGGCATGGCACAGTGCTATACTAGCACACTACCCCTCTGTTAAGAGGGGGGGTGTTAGCGACGGGTGGAAACTCAGGATACTGGACAACGAGGACTCTGAGTTGTCTAATATTAATCTCTATAAATCTGGAACCGTTTTGGTTCAAGGCAACACCAAACAGTTCCAGCTGGACTTTCACCTAATCAAAGAAATAGCTCAGCAGGAGAAGCTGTCCCTTGAGAAAGATACCCCTACCCCGAGCGGGTCAGACCAGACCTCTTCATTAAATAACCCCACAGAGCAACCCCAAGCAGAAACTCAACTTCCCAGCACAGAGTACTACTCCCTCATTGAAATGAAGGATAAATTCACCCAGCTGGAGGTAAGGCAGGTGGAGCTGGAACAGCAGGTGAACACACTCCAGTCAGCACAGACCCAGACAACAGTCCAGCACAACAACACCCCCTTAACTAGACCTGGAGAGCTGCAGGTGGAGAGAGACATGTCTGCACTCTGGACTGTGGTGAGACAACATCAACAGGAGAAAGAGCAGGAGCAGGAGAAGAACAGAGCACTAGAGGAGAGGATCAGAGTGCTGGAGGAGAAGGTGAGAACGATGACGGGTGACATTGAACAACCCATTAGAGAACAGCCCACCTCAGATCCTGGCCAAAGTCTCGACACCGCAGCAGAACAGTACACCCTAGACCCTGACCATAGCCTCGACATCACACCCAGACAAACAAATGAAGAACCCCAAGCCCTGGGGACCCCAACCCCTCTGAGCAACCCCCCAGACAGACACCCTGATAGCCCTCATGACGACCCCCCCCACACCCACTGAGGACATACACAAGCCACAGATTGTACTCCTTATGGACTCAAACGGGAAATACATACAAGAAAATAAACTTTTTCCAAAACACACAGTGTCTAAACTCTGGTGTCCAAATACCCAGCGCGCCCTAGACCTTCTGTCTAAGGACCGACTAGGATCACCCAGCCACATAATAATACACACAGGCACAAACGACCTGAGAACACAGCAGGAAAGGGTGGCCACATCACTCAAGGGCGTGATAGAAAAAGCTTCTTCTACTTTCCCCAACGCACAAGTGGTTATCTCAACCCTGTTACCACGAAAAGACTTCCACCCTGCTACCATACAGCGGGTAAACGCAAGTATTTCCCGTGACTGTGCATCAAAACCAAATGTCTTCCTGGCCCACCACTCCACCCTGGACGTGAACAGCCTTTACGACCAGGTCCACCTATACAAGGCAGCAGTGCCCACCTTCGCCCGGACCCTAAAGGATATCGCCCTCAACCGCAGACCCAACACCTCACACAGGAGCAACAGATCAACAGACACCCCGCCCAGACCAGCGAGACACTCTCCCAGACCTGCGGGACCCCCCCCAGGACCTACACATAGAGGACCCCCGCAGAGAGGACCTACATCCAGACCACAGCACCATCAACCACATCTACACCCCCACCCCAACCAATTAACTCCCCCCCAAGTCAACCATGCCCACACCCCATTTAGGCCCCCTCAGATCAGACCTATGCCCCTCCTACCCACCCCAAGCCCCCCACTCCCACAAAGAGGGCCTCAACATGAAAGTCACACATACGCCCAGGCCGTGAGCAGGCAAACAGGCCCAACACCCACTCTTACACTAGCCCAAGCCAATGGCATGTACCAGATGCTCAGCAGGCTCTGCTCACAATTACTGGCCTGAGGCCAAACCACACAACCAACAACATTAGACACTTTATGGAACACAAAGCCTTCACTATTTCATCCTGGAATATCCAAGGCCTGAGGTCATCTGCCTTTGGCCTAAAGAGCAGGAATCTGGACTTCACCAAAGAAATCGGAAATACAGACATTGTCATCCTACAAGAAACATGGTATAGAGGAGACGGACCCACTGGTTGCCCTCTAGGTTACAGAGAGCTGGTAGTCCCATCCACCAAACTACCAGGTGTGAAACAGGGAAGGGACTCAGGGGGTATGCTAATTTGGTATAGAGCAGACCTAACTCACTCTATTAAATTAATCAAAACAGGAACATTTTACATTTGGTTAGAAATTCAAAAGGAAATTATCTCAACTGAGAAAAATGTCCTCCTGTGTGCTACCTATATCCCCCCACTAGAATCCCCATACTTTAATGAAGACAGTTTCTCCATCCTGGAGGGGGAAATCAATAATTTCCAGACCCAGGGACATGTACTAGTCTGTGGCGACCTAAATGCCAGAACTGGACAAGAACCTGACACCCTCAGCACACAGGGGGACAAACACCTACCTGGAGGTGACAGCATTCCCTCCCCCATATGCCCCCCTAGGCACAACTACGACAACATAACCAACAAAAATGGGTCACGACTCCTGCAGCTCTGTCGCACACTGGGTATGTACATAGTCAATGGTAGGCTTCGAGGGGACTCCTATGGTAGGTACACCTATAGCTCATCTCTTGGCAGTAGTACTGTAGACTACTTTATCACTGACCTCAACCCAGAGTCTCTCAGAGCGTTCACAGTCAGCCCACTGACACCCCTATCAGACCACAGCAAAATCACAGTCTACTTGAACAGAGCAATACTCAATCATGAGGCATCAAAGCCAAAAGAACTGAATAATATTAAGAAATGCTATAGATGGAAGGAAAGTAGTGTTGAAACCTACCAAAAAACAATTAGGAAACAACAAATTCAATCCATTCTAGACAACTTCCTGGACAAAACGTTCCACTGTAATAGTGAAGGTGTAAACTTGGCAGTAGAAAACCTAAACAGTATATTTGACCTCTCAGCTTCCCTATCAAATCTAAAAATCTCTAACAGAAAACCAAAGAAAAGTAATAACAGTGATAAATGGTTTGATGAAGAATGCAAAAACCTAAGAAAGAAATTGAGAAACCTATCCAACCAAAAACATAGAGACCCAGAAAACCTGAGCCTACGCCTTCACTATGGTGAATCACTAAAACAATACAGAAATAAACTACGGAAAAAGAAGGAACAGCATGTCAGAAATCAGCTCAATGTAATTGAAGAATCCATAGACTCTAACCACTTCTGGGAAAATTGGAAAACACTAAACAAACAACAACACGAAGAGCTATCTATCCAAAACGGAGATGTATGGGTAAACCACTTCTCCAATCTTTTTGGCCCTATAACAGAGAACAAACAGCAAAAAAATATACATGATCAAATGCAAATCTTAGAATCAACTATTAAAGACTACCAGAACCCACTGGATTCTCCAATTACATTGAATGAACTACAGGATAAAATACAAACCCTCCAACCCAAAAAGTCCTGTGGTGTTGATGGTATCCTCACTGAAATGATAAAATATACAGACCACAAATTTCAATTAGCTATACTTAAACTCTTTAACATCATCCTTAGCTCTGGCATCTTCCCCAACATCTGGAACCAAGGACTGATCACCCCAATCCACAAAAGTGGAGACAAATTTGACCCCAATAACTACCGTGGGATATGCGTCAACAGCAACCTTGGGAAAATCCTCTGCATTATCATTAACAGCAGACTAGTTCATTTCCTCAGTGAAAACAATGTACTGAGCAAATGTCAAATTGGCTTTTTACCAAATTACCGTACGACAGACCACGTATTCACCCTGCACACCCTAATTGACAAACAAACAAACCAAAACAAAGGCAAAGTCTTCTCATGCTTTGTTGATTTCAAAAAAGCTTTTGACTCAATTTGGCATGAGGGTCTGCTATACAAATTGATGGAAAGTGGGGTTGGGGGAAAAAACATACGACATTATAAAATCCATGTACACAAACAACAAGTGTGCGGTTAAAATTGGCAAAAAACACACACATTTCTTTCCACAGGGCCGTGGGGTGAGACAGGGATGCAGTTTAAGCCCCACCCTCTTCAACATAGATATCAACGAATTGGCGAGGGCACTAGAACAGTCTGCAGCACCCGGCCTCACCCTACTAGAATCTGAAGTCAAATGTCTTCTGTTTGCTGACGATCTGGTGCTTCTGTCACCAACCAAGGAGGGCCTACAGCAGCACCTAGATCTTCTGCACAGATTCTGTCAGACCTGGGCCCTGACAGTAAATCTCAGTAAGACAAAAATAATGGTGTTCCAAAAAAGGTCCAGTTGCCAGGACCACAAATACAAATTCCATCTAGACACCGTTGCCCTAGAGCACACAAAAAACTATACATACCTCGGCCTAAACATCAGCGCCACAGGTAACTTCCACAAAGCTGTGAACGATCTGAGAGACAAGGCAAGAAGGGCCTTCTATGCCATCAAAAGGAACATAAAATTTGACATACCAATTAGGATCTGGCTAAAAATACTTGAATCAGTTATAGAACCCATTGCCCTTTATGGTTCTGAGGTCTGGGGTCCGCTCACCAACCAAGAATTCACAAAATGGGACAAACACCAAATTGAGACTCTGCATGCAGAATTCTGCAAAAACATCCTCCGTGTACAACGTAAAACACCAAATAATGCATGCAGAGCAGAATTAGGCCAATACCCACTAATTATCAAAATCCAGAAAAGAGCCGTTAAATTCTATAACCACTTAAAAGGAAGCGATTCCCAAACCTTCCATAACAAAGCCATCACCTACAGAGAGATGAACTTGGAGAAGAGTCCCCTAAGTAAGCTTGTCCTGGGGCTCTGTTCACAAACACAAACAGACCCCACACAGCCCCAGGACAACAACAACAACAACACAACTAGACCCAACCAAATCATGAGAAAACAAAAAGAGAATTACTTGACACATTGGAAAGAACAAACAAAAAAACAGAGCAAACTAGAATGCTATTTGGCCCTAAACAGAGAGTACACAGTGGCAGAATACTTGACCACTGTGACTGACCCAAACTTAAGGAAAGCTTTGACTATGTACAGACTCAGTGAGCATAGCCTTGCTATTGAGAAAGGCCGCCGTAGGCAGACCTGGCTCTCAAGAGAAGACAGGCTATGTGCACACTGCCCACAAAATGAGGTGGAAACTGAGCTGCACTTCCTAACCTCCTGCCAAATGTATGACCATATTAGAGACACATATTTCCCTCAGATTACAGCGATCCACAAAGAATTCGAAAACAAACCCAATTTTGATAAACTCCCTTATCTACTGGGTGAAAAACCACAGTGTGCCATCACAGCTGCAAGATTTGTGACCTGTTGCCACAAGAAAAGGGCAACCAGTGAAGAACAAACACCATTGTAAATACAACCCATATTTATGTTTATTTATTTTCCCATTTGTACTTTAACTATTTGCACATTGTTACAACACTGTATATATACATAATATGACATTTGAAATGTCTTTATTCTTTTGAAACTTCTGAGTGTAATGTTTACTGTTAATATTTATTGTTTATTTCACTTTTGTTTACTATCTACTTCACTTGCTTTGGCAATGTTAACACACGTTTCCCATGCCAATAAAGCCCTTAAATTGAATTGAATTGAGAGAGAGAGAGAGAGAGAGAGAGAGAGAGAGAGAGAGAGAGAGAGAGAGAGAGAGAGTAGGGTAAGGGGAGAGAGAGGGAGATAGAGAAAAAAGGAAGAGAGAGAGGGAGGAGAACAGGGTTGTGAAAGTGCAAGTGTGACAATTGGGAAACGGTTAATAGAACAATTCACAGAGCCACATATCACACAAAACAGGAAGGAAAGAGGAGAGTATAATAGGAGAAATGAACAAACTATTTCAGGAGGGACTAGGAGTTATTGTACAGTAGAAATGACTGGACATTATCATCATTCCTAAAGCATGATTTGTGATTAAAAGTGTTATAACGCTTGGGCAAATTCTAACGGCGTCAAATACGCTTTCAAATGAGGCCCTGAAATCAAGCACTGTATATCACACGTTTAGCAGCAGAGGCATAAAATAGTGGAGGAAAGGAGGAACGGGACATTAATGAATGTGGCACAAAGAGCGGGACAGTAATGGACGTTACACTTACCCTCCTCTGATGACTTCACCGGCTGGACGAAGCCCTGTAACACATCCAGTAGGGTGCGCCGCTGAGCACACTACACAGGGGAGGACAGACAGATATGAAAGATTTCACTGACATTATACACCTATAGGAACCAAGATACTTATAACAGGTTGCCTACATGTCCTGTGGCAATACTGGGTGAACAAAAGGCCATAACTTACAATGCAATAACACTGTGATTGTGACTATGCAGGAAGCCAGCAATACACACAGTAATGAAGCTGCCATGCGGAAACTAACCAAATCATTACCAACAGTCAAGAATGTGAGACGAGCGCCAACATTGCCGATAATGGAACGTCCTAGCTGGATGGTGTGACTCACCTGTGAGCGGCTGTTGTATTGCTCGATGAGGGACGGCATGACGGCGGCTGCAACTCTGTGGCTCGCCCTGTAGGAAGCGGTAGAGGTGGCCTGCAGCAGCTTCGCACTGGGCCACACCAGCTTCAGGTCCGGCTCACACAGGTGATGCAGACAGTCTATAAAAACATTGGGTCGGGTTGGCACATTGGCGATGGTGTCTGTATATATATATATATATGTATGTCAGGACAGTGTACTGGATTATATAAAGTGTGTATACCTAAATCTATATGGGTGTAAATAATGCACAGGGTGGTGAGTCGAGTGCAGACAGCTAGCAATGATCCAGTGATTGAAATTCTATCGCTCACCACACCTGTAGCCAAGCTGGCTCTGTGAAGGACTCGCTCTCTCTCAAAAGTTTGGACACACCTACTCATTCAAGGTTTTTCTTAATTTTTTCTATATTTTAGAATAATAGTGAAGACATCAAAACTATGAAATAACACATATGGAATCATGTAGTAACCAAAGAAGTGTTAAACAAATCAAAATATATTTTAGCCACCCTTTGCCTTGATGACAGCTTTGCACACTCTTGGCATTCTCTCAACCAGTAAAAATAAAGAAAAACCCTTGAATGAGTAGGTGTGTCCAAACTGTTGACTGGTACTGTATATATATATATATATATATACACACACACATACACACACACACATACAGTTGAAGTCGGAAGTTTACATACACCTTAGTCAAATACATTTAAACTCAGTTTTCCACAATTCCTGACATTTAATCCTACTAACAATTCCCTGTCTTAGGTCAGTTAGGATCACCACTTTATTTTAAGAATGTGAAATGTCAGAATAATAGTAGAGAGAATGATTTATTTCAGCTTTTATTTCTTTCATCACATTCCCAGTGGGTCAGAATTTTACATACACTCAATTAGTATTTGGTAGCATTGCCTTTAAATTGTTTAACTTGGGTCACACGTTTCGGGTAGCATCCCACAAGCTTCCCATAATAAGTTGAGTGAATTTTGGCCCATTCCTCCTGACAGAGCTGGTGTACCTGAGTCAGGTTTGTAGGCCTCCTGGCTCGCACACGCCTTTTCAGTTCTGCCCACAAATGTTCTATAGGATTGAGGTCAGGGCTTTGTGATGGCCACAATACCTTGACTTTGTTGTCCTTAAGCCATTTTGCCACAACTTTGGAAGTATGCTTGGGGTCATTGTCCATTTGGAAGACCCATTTGCAACCAACATTTAACTTCCTGACTGATGTCTTGAGATGTTGCTTCAATATATCCACACAATTTTCCTTCCTCATGATGAAGTGCGCCAGTCCCTCCTGCAGCAAAGCAACCCCACAGCATGATGCTGCCACCCCCGTGCTTCACGGTTGTTCTTCGGCTTGCAAGCCACCCCCTTTTTCTTTTTCTCTCCATTTTTGTTTCGTTTCATCAGACCAGAGGACATTTCTCCAAAACGTATGATCTTTGTCCCCATGTGCAGTTGCAAACCGTAGTCTGGCTTTTTTATGGCGGTTTTGGAGCAGCGGCTTCTTCCTTGCTGAGCGGCCTTTCAGGTTATGTCAATATAGGACTCATTTTACTGTGGATATATATACTTTTGTACCCGTTTCCTCCAGCATCTTCACAAGGTCCTTTGCGGTTGTTCTGGGATTGATTTGCACTATTCGCACCAAAGTACGTTCATCTCTAGGAGACAGAATGCGTCTCCTTCCTGAGCAGTATGATGGCTGCGTGGTCCCATGGTGTTTATACTTGCGTACTATTGTTTGTACAGATGAACGTGGTACCTTCAGGCGTTTGGAAATTGCTCCCAAGGATGAACCAGACTTGTGGAGGTCTAAAAAAAATGTCTGAGGTCTTGGCTGATTTCTTTTGATTTTCCCATGATGTCAAGCAAAGAGGCACTGAGTTTGAAGGTAGGCCTTGAAATACATCCACAGGTACACATCCAATTGACTCAAATGATGTCAATTAGCCTATCAGAAGCTTCTAAAGCCATGACATCATTTTCTGGAATTTTCCAAGCTGTTTAAAGGCACAGTCAACTTAGTGTATGTAAACTTCTGACCCACTGGAATTGTGATACAGTGAATTATAAGTGAAATAATCTGTCTGTAAACAATTGTTGGAAAAATTACTTGTGTCATGCACAAAGTAGATGTCCTAACCGACTTGCCAAAACTATAGTTTGTTAACAAGAAATTTGTGGAGTGGTTGAAAAACAAGTTTTAATGACTCCAACCTAAGTGTATGTAAACTTCCGTCTTCAACTGTATATACACACCACTACACAATAACAATACAAACACCTTCACCATTAGCCTCTTGTGCCCAGAACCAGATAGTTTGAGGTGGTACCTTTGAGGACAAGGTCCAGGAAGACATTGAGGTAGTCTTCAGAGTCAGAGTTGAGGATGGAGCGGGAAAGACAGGCTGTCAGGGCACCGACGGCGGCTAGGCCAGCGGACTCCACCCGCTCACTAGCGGTCTGAAACACCTGCACAGGGACGGAGAGAGTAAGGGAGGGAGGGAGGGAGGTCGTCAATCAAACTCTCCATTCAGATTATCCATTATCAAAGATTCCTCACTTAGCATTATCACAGCTCAACATTTAGGACACTTTTACAAACCATACTAATATGTTGCTGACACCCAAGCTGCAATGAAACGTACCTCTCTGCGCAGTGAGGCCCAAAGGCCTGGTAGGAATTCGGCTAGCTCTTTATGTTCATACACAGAAGCACAGGCAGTCTGCAACATAGGGAGGAAACACAGGCCATTAAGACATGGATGCCATTTACTGTACACGTAAACCATAAAGATGATCTTAGGTGAGTTTACCAACGAGGACTTACCAGGGTCTGCAGGGAGTCCACCTTGGCACTCTGAACATCTGAGTCCAGTTTCTCAATGATCAGTGGCAGCAGGAACTGTTGAAGCGAGACAATCCACAAATCATAACCTGCATTGATACTAAGCTCAAGGCCCTGGGTAGCGGTTTTAGGCTGGGTTCTGTATAAGCACTTTGTGACATCTGCTGAAGTAAAAAAGGCTTTATAAATAAATGTGATTGATTGATGAACACCTCCCTCTGCAACTGTATCCTGGACTTCCTGACAGACAGACCCCAGGTGGTGAGGGTAGGCAACAACACCTCCGCCACACTGACCCAATACACAGGATTCCCCCAGAAGTGCGTGCTCAGCCCCTTCCTGTACACCCACGACTGAGTGGCCACGAACGACTCCAACACAATCATTAAGTCTGCCGATGACACAACGGCGGTGGGCCTGATCGGCGATGAGACAGCTTACAGGGAGGATGTTAGAGCCCTGGCAGAGTGGTGCCAGGAAAACAACCTCTCCCTCAACGTCAGTAAAACCAAGGAGCTGATCGTGGACTACAGGAAACAGGGGGAGCACGTCCCTATTGTCATCGACGGGGACGCAGTGGAGGAGCAATAGCTTCAAGTTCCTCAGCGTGCACATCACAGAGGACCTGACATGGGCCAATCACAGTGCCTCTTCAACCTCAGGCGCCTTAAGAAATTTGGCATGGGCCCTCGGATCCTCAAGAAGTTCTACAGCTGCACAACCGAGAGCATCTTAACCGGCTGCATCACCGGTCAAGATGTGTCTGAGGAAGGCCCGAAAGATCGTCAAGTACTCCAGTCACCTGAGCCATGGACTGTTCACTCTGTCCCCATCTGGCAAGCGGTATCGGAGCATCGGGTCTCGGACCAATAGGCTCCAAGACAGCTTCTACCAAAAGGCCATCAGTTTGCTGAACAGCTAACCCTAGCTGTCTCCCTGCTCAGACCTGCACCGTAGAAACTATTTGCACCTTAGAGACTATCTGCACATTAAAGACTATTTGCACTGATTTGCACACATATGCAAACACCCATAAACACACACACAAGCACCCAGAACTCAGACACACAGTGACAGTATCCACAGATGTTACTGTAAGCTTAATACAGGCTTTGCTATAGCTTACTTACTGATGATAATGCTATGTTACTGTGAGTAAGTATGAAAAAAATGTATGCACTCACTACCTGTAAGTCGCTCTGGATAAGAGCGTCTGCTAAATGACTAAAATGTAAATGTAATATACTATTTATTCTACTGCATAAGTCACCACCCACTTTATATTCGTAGAGTGTAAATACAGTCCATTGTTACTATGCATACTACCTCTTCTAATACTTGTCATTTTTTACATTAATATTTCATTGTTAATATTGATTAATGTACTGTCTTGTTGAGGGAGCTAGCACATAAGCATTTCGCTGCACCTTTTATACCTGCTGTAAACTGTGTATGGGAACAATAAAATTGGATTACAGATGCACCCACACCCCCTAACTCTTTCACTTGTTCACTTTATCTCTCACAAACATACAACCATACACAAAGACCATCTCCGATGTCCTCTAACGTCCTAAAAGGCTATGCATTGTGTAGTCTTGTTTGCCAGACATGGTGGATGTGGGAGGAGACTATGCATTGTGTAGTCTTGTTTGCCAGACATGGTGGATGTGGGAGGAGACTATGCATTGTGTAGTCTTGTTTGCCAGACATGGTGGATGTGGGAGGAGACTATGCATTGTGTATTGTTCTCTTGTCTACCCCTACTGTATGTGTAGTGTGCAGTACAGTATGTCTCCCCCACCTCTGCAAAGCGTGGTGTTCCAGTGAGCACGGCCCTCAGGGCCAGTACCAGCTCCTCCTGGGTGATGCCATGGGGGTCATTGGGTGGCTGGGTGGGGGACACACACAGAGACAGTCATGGAGTTAGATGGCGGTCAACCCATAGAAATAGAATGAAATGTTTTCATTCAATGAACAAACGTCCAAGTCATCGAATGACCCTCCCTACTGCTGTAAATGCTCATCAAATTAATGTTAATCAAAAACGGTTCTAGTACACTGCTCAAAAAAATAAAGGGAACACTTAAACAACACATCCTAGATCTGAATGAATGAAATAATCTTATTAAATACTTTTTTCTTTACATAGTTGAATGTGCTGACAACAAAATCACACAAAAATTATCAATGGAAATCAAATGTATCAACCCCATGGAGGTCTGGATTTGGAGTCACCCTCAAAATTAAAGTGGAAAACCACACTACAGGCTGATCCAACTTTGATGTAATGTCCTTAAAACAAGTCAAAATGAGGCTCAGTAGTGTGTGTGGCCTCCACGTGCCTGCATGACCTCCCTACAACGCCTGGGCATGCTCCTGATGAGGTGGCGGATGGTCTCCTGAGGGATCTCCTCCCAGACCTGGACTAAAGCATCCGCCAACTCCTGGACAGTCTGTGGTGCAACGTGGCGTTGGTGGATGGAGCGAGACATGATGTCCCAGATGTGCTCAATTGGATTCAGGTTCTGGGGAACGGGCGGGCCAGTCCATAGCATCAATGCCTTCCTCTTGCAGGAACTGCTGACACACTCCAGCCACATGAGGTCTAGCATTGTCTTGCATTAGGAGGAACCCAGGGCCAACCGCACCAGCATATGGTCTCACAAGGGGTCTGAGGATCTCATCTCGGTACCTAATGGCAGTCAGGCTACCTCTGGCGAGCACATGGAGGGCTGTGCGGCCCCCCAAAGAAATACCACCCCACACCATGACTGAACCACCGCCAAACCGGTCATGCTGGAGGATGTTGCAGGCAGCAGAACGTTCTCCACGGCGTCTCCAGACTCTGTCACGTCTGTCACGTGCTCAGTGTGAACCTGCTTTCATCTGTGAAGAGCACAGGGCGCCAGTGGCGAATTTGCCAATCTTGGTGTTCTCTGGCAAATGCCAAACGTCCTGCACGGTGTTGGGCTGTAAGCACAACCCCCACCTGTGGACGTTGGGCCCTCATACCACCCTCATGGAGTCTGTTTCTGACCGTTTGAGCAGACACATGCACATTTGTGGCCTGCTGGAGGTCATTTTACAGGGCTCTGGCAGTGCTCCTCCTGCTCCTCCTTGCACAAAGGCGGAGGTAGCGGTCCTGCTGCTGGGTTGTTGCCCTCCTACGGCCTCCTCCATGTCTCCTGATGTACTGGCCTGTCTCCTGGTAGCGCCTCCATGCTCTGGACACTACGCTGACAGACACAGCAAACCTTCTTGCCACAGCTCGCATTGATGTGCCATCCTGGATGAGCTGCAATACCTGAGTCACTTGTGTGGGTTGTAGACTCCGTCTCATGCTACCACTAGAGTGAAAGCTCCGCCAGCATTCAAAAGTCACCAAAACATCAGCCAGGAAGCATAGGAACTGAGAAGTGGTCTGTGGTCACCACCTGCAAAACCAGTCCTTTATTGGGGGTGTCTTGCGAATTGCCTATAATTTCCACCTGTTGTCTATTCCATTTGCACAACAGCATGTGAAATGTATTGTCAATCAGTGTTGCTTCCTAAGTGGACAGTTTGATTTCACAGAAGTGTGATTGACTTGGAGTTACATTGTGTTGTTTAAGTGTTCCCTTAATTTTTTTGAGCAGTGTATATTCCAAATGGCCTCAATGTCCATCAACATGAATCACATAAAACAGTACACAAGCTGTCTGTCAGTATTTTAACTCTGGGGTTAACCATTTCCTACAATCCTCTGCCAGATGCTAGTCAGTGTCACATGGCTCAGGTATCAGAGCACACAGGACATAGTCTCACATCAGCATTGTCTGCTGGCTGGTGTAAGTCCACCGCAGCAGCGCAAACAAACACTTACAGGGCTGAAGTCTATAGGGAAATAGCATGATGTCACTTCAAACAGCTCCTCTGTGAATTTACCTGAAATAAAACACAGACAGGATAATACTGACAGGATTGAGGAATCATTAAATAATACATGTTAAGATAAAATATACTTAAAGGTCATGATAATAATGCATGTATTAAATCTCAACCCAACTACTGGTCTACATAAAACGGGGCTTAAACCGGTCCTCTGGACTAGCAGTGTGTGTGTGTGTGTGTGTGTGTGTGTGTGTGTGTAGGGCTCCAGACTATCTTTCCCTGCTGGCGGCACTGGCCTAACTAACATTTTCAGTTGGTGGCACCAGCCCATGATTTGGTTGCACCAAAATGTTGTCACGCAATAGAGAAAAATTAGCAATCATCATATGAAATAATTCACAGTGCTTCCAGTTGGATGTGTTACAAGTTCACGCAATGCCCAGCAAACCTGGGCAACAATGAAAAACAAGATGACAACATGTACAACTAAAAAGGTACATAAAACACATTTCAAAAGTTTGGAATAACAACAGCTGCACAACAATGTGCGAGCGCACGCGTGTGTTCTCACCAAGATCATAGCCTTCATGGAGGATTTTCCTAGCAATATGGAAGGCCTGGAGAAGGTTGCGTGGGTCCCTCTCCCCATCCACTGACTGGACAAACCCAAAGACAAAGTCTGCACCCAGGCCCTTCAGCTCTGTGGGATAGGAAAAGTAGTCAATCAATGTAACAACATTCCAATTAGTAATTAGCAACTGCCTCTGTAGCTCAGCTGGTAGAGCACGGCGCTTGTAACGCCAAGGTAGTGGGTTCGATCCCCGGGACCACCCATACACAAAAAATGTATGCACGCATGACTGTAAGTCGCTTTGGATAAAAGCGTCTGCTAAATGGCATATTATTATTATTATAGTAACATACATAATATTTATTTCAAAGCTGTATCACTCTCGACAAGGATCTCTATGACCTGAGGATTTCTCCATTATAGCTACCACTCTACCTCGGCTCTTACCTGACTCTCTGGATTCCATAAGCTGGACGAGGATATTGTAAACACATGACCGCTCCGCCAGCATCAGGGACTGTAGTGACACAGACAAAGAAAGCAGATAAACAGGGTCAGGGTGTTGCAGTGGCAGTATGAGAAACATATGGGCTTATTAACCCCTTAATAACTTCTGTATGCTCATTATTTAGGAGAATTTACACTTGACAGGGCAGGTTGGGTGTGCTCACCTGCACATGGACGTCCTGGAATAGTGATTTCAGAATGGACACTGCAGACCCAGGCGGCAACACTGAGCATTTGGTCTGAGAGGATATTTCAAGATGTTGGTCAGGGATAGGCAAGATAACACATCTATCTCTCAGTTCACTTTTGATGGGACAAAATTCACATTTCTCTAATATTCTTGTGAAATGTAACATGACAGAGGTTACTAAGCTTGAGACTTACCAGCGCTTTCAGCCCCTGTATGACATGTGGTGTGATGACATAGTGGTCCTTCAGTCTGTTTTCATAAAACACTATAAGGACTTCCACTTAGGACAAAACAAAAAGGAGAAGATAATAAATGACCTATTGACAGGACATATAGCACCCACTAAGCAAATGCCAAAGATGGGTTATGATGCCAAAGAGGTGTTATAGTGTTGACTACCTTCTCTCTCTGTAAGGTCTCCATGGCACTCCTGTAGGACACTGGAGAGGAGCTGGACACCACGGGCTCGGGTCTGGGGTTGGGAGCTGGTCAGATGCAAACTTCACAGAGACAGGATGGTCAGCTTGTTAGTGGAGGCTAGAACTGCATGACATTGAAGTTGATGACATTGATAGTGACTTGGACAATAATGATGATTGTATACATTACCCCAAGGCTTCAACCAACTGCAGTATAGTAAACTGTCCAGCCTTGAGTTCTAATGCAAAGAAAATGAAGGGCATTTCACTGTACTTGTGCATGTGACATTAAAACGTGAAAGTGCATTTATTTAACAAGAGGAAATGACAAGTGGTCAGTAGGATATATCATGCAGACACTTTAGGGTTATGGAAAGTAGGTCCAGAGTCTAATGTGTTGCGAAAGAAACTTGTTTAGAGCTGCACTAGGGTCGGAGAGAATTCCTGTGTATATTAAGATACAACGGAGCCTGTGTGAGATATGGCTCGGAAGATGTACCTCAATACAGGAATGAAAAATGTACTGTACTCCGAATTGTCCCATTATCCCAAATATTACACCGAGAAGATTGAACTCCTGTTTTTTTTTTTAGCAGTCGTTCAATCTATTGTGTGTAAAAGTTGGGATAATGGGACAATTCGGAGTACAATGCATTTTTCATCACTGGATTGAGGTACATTTTCCGAGCCTTATTGCGCTGGATCCGCTGTCTTAATATACAAAGAAATTCTGTCCGACCCTAGTGCAGCTGTAGCAAGCTGGTCAGATCTGCTGAATAGCTAACACCATGCAGGTCATGGCCAAGAACAGCGGTCAATACATTCCCTTGAATTAAGAGACATTGATTGCCACGTTGAATAAATTGAAAGCTACAGGTACACCATATTTTTTGTCGGTGATTTCTATAGCGTGCGGTTGAACACAGGATGTAGCTTAGAGTTGTGATAGCTTGCTGCTAGCTAGCATCCTTGCCAGACATCAGTCACGCGCGATTTATGTATCATTCTTTGATTTTTATCTCAAAAACCGTATCCGAGAGAAAGGTGGCTGGAATACGTTTGGCAGCTACCTGTTGCGGTGTCTACAGCCTTGCGGTCCTGTTGTCCCAAAACGAATTCTTCTACCAAGCCCACTAGCAAGGCACTATCCGCAGCCATCGTGAACAGCCTTGGTTCAAACTGAAGTGAGCATGCGTGGAAAGTTCTTGCGGTTACCCTGAGAGCAGGGTCACAAAAAACGTTATATCATATGATTTTGAACCCCATGCATAAAGGTGCAATTCCATTTTTGCAGTGTAATACAGCTGTAGCTAGATATTTTACTAACCAAATAATACATAATCTGTTTGTTGTGGAAGTTTCCATATGCATATTCCAAAGACAACTTTGTATGTTGGAAATCTTCCATTGTATTTATTATTTGGCTAATCATTTGGCAGTTCATTTGGAGCAAGGTTGAGGACTTTCAATTGTTCGAAAGGTGCTCCCTGTAGTCGTGACGTACAATAATTTGACCCCCCCCCCCCCACCCACCCCACTTGAGCACGCGCAGGCGTAAAAAGTTAGTGTTGCAATCTGCACCAGAAAGGGTAGGGGGATTTAAAACCAGACTGAGAAAAATGAGAAAGGTTTGAAATTCTCCACGGCGTTAAACTGAGAGCCATATCCACAATGAAACGTATTATCTAAGTTAGCTAGATATCTGTTTAGAATATTTACGTGGACGCGAGTGCATAAAAGTTTGCTTACTAATTTTAGCTAGCTAGCTTGCTAACTGTCTCGGGCAGCGACGCCTGGCAGTGAGCTTGCTAGTAAATTGCTTCATTGTTGGCTACAAAGATAGCTAGCACGCTAACTTGTCTACATTTGTATTTATAGAGGAATATCTAGTGTTTAACTAATATAATCCATTATTGTTGACATTAGATTATATTTATCAAATTTAGCTTGCTAGCCATTCTGCACGTCACTACTCATTTTGGAACGTTGGATCACATCAAACAATAATTAAACGGAGATAGCTAACTTACTATCTAGCATGTTAGCACGCTAGCTAGCACTTCCGTGCTTGCTAGCTAGTTGTTAGCACATTCCCTCCAACGTTACTTTGTGGATTGTTCTATCAAGAGAAGCAACTTGACCTCGTTAATTTTGTACAGTGGATCTATATCTATTTGTTTTGCAACCAGCTAGCAGTTGGCTAATGATGGGGCCCCGACATAGTTAGCCAACTGATAATAATCATGGGAGGATGTGTTGGGAGAGAACGCGAGGACACACAGGGCCACGGTTCATCGAGGAGCGGTGGAAGGACACACCGAAAACGTGGAGGTAAATTAACGAGTATTCGTTTGGTTGTCTGAGTGCATCGAATACAAACCTAGTTCATCACATTGCATAGTAAATGTTTACCGGATACTAATTACATGGGTATGGCACTACAATGCACTCCCCAGTGCAATAATACTGGCCAATAGGATTTCCTCCTTAGGTTCTCAAGTGTATCCAATAGTACCACAAGAGTCAGAATTCCCATAAAACCTAGCGGTCAAACAAGGAAATGGTTCTGATCGTTTTTCCACCATTCATTTTTCCCATAGGGGATTTTAGAAACACTTAGTTAAAATAAGGGCTGTGTTTCGTGTAGGCTTACCCTGGCGTGACGTTTTGCTAACCTTGTAAGTCTCTAAAGGCAAGGTGACTTGTTAATATATTCAACTGTATTTACCCCCCAAAAATGACATACTAATTAGTTGCTAATATGGCTATTATAAAGAACTACAAATGCCTTGATGATCTGGACAAGACTGCCGAATTGAGGCAAAGGTAAGAAACTCTGGATTAACCATCTAATGTTAGCTACGTTTAGTAATTAATAAAGCAAAGGTGTCAGCTAGAGATTACGTGCAGGAGCTTGCAGGGATTTGTAGTCTTGCAATTACATTTTAGTCATTTAGCAGACGCTCTTATCCAGAGCGACTTACAGTTAGTGAGTGTATACATATTTTTTCTTCTTCTTCATACTGGCCCCCCGTGGGAATCGAACCCACAACCCTGCCGTTGCAAGCGCCATGCTCTACCAACTGAGCTACACGGGGCCCATGATGTCTACTTTGAATCTGAGAGTAAATATAGCCTAATACATTGATAAGTCACCTTGTCTGAGAAGATTTACATTGTTATCAAAACGTCACGCCAGGGTAAGCCTACATGAAACGCATCCCTTATTTTAAGTGGTTCTAAAACTTCCATATGGGTGAAAAATAATGGTGGAAAAACGATTGGAACCATTTCCCTGTTTGACCGCTAAATTTAATGGGTATTATGACACCTCCACTGTGGGGCTCTATGGACTGTGACCAAGAAACTGTAGGAGAAATGGTTCATTTCCCTTCCCCCATCTTGCAGGGCACAAATGGGAACAACATGAGTTACTTCCTCTTATCTCTCTACCAACCAATAACTGTATAGCTACCAACACAACTAGGCTACACCTGTTTTAAGAATACTGATTGGAATATGTCTGAAGATTGATCCACCCAGGACTCATCCATCACATTGTGGAATATACATTGAGGGTACAAAACATTAGGAATACCTTCCTAATGTTGCATTGCTGCCCCCAGAACAGCCTAAATGTGACGGGGCATGGACTGGATGCTGGCCCATGTTGACTCCAATGCTTCCCACTGTTGTGTCAAGTTGGCTGGATGTCCTTTGGGTGGTGGACCATTCTTGATACACACGGGTAACTGTTGAGCCTGAAAAACCCAGCAGCATTGCAATTATTGACACACTCAAACCGGTGCGCCTGGCACCTACCATACCCTGTTCAAAGGCACTAAAATATTTTCTTGCCCATTCACCTTCTGAATGGCACACATACACAATCCATGTCCCAAGGCTTAAAAAATATTATTTGTCTGGTCTCCTCCCCTTCAGCTACACTGGTTTTGAAGTGGATTTAACAAGTGACATCAAAAAGGGATCGTTCACCTGGATTCAATCCAGCGTTCACCTGGATTCACCCTGATGACTCGGTGGTGCGCGATGCGTACAAGGCAAGCAGGTACGAGCTCTGCAAATCCTTTAGGCACGCAAAAAGACAATACAAACTCAAACTTGAATCGACGTTCGACAACTCAGACTCGTGATGCATGTGGCAAGGACTACAGGCTATCACGGCACCACAAAGGCAAATCCAGCTGTGTGATGCCCACTGACGCCTCCCTCCCAGACGAGCTTAACACATTCTCTGCTCGCTTTAAGGCAGACGATACCGAGCCATCCAGGAAGGCTCTCGCTCCTCCGGATGACCAGACGCTTTTGCGCTTCGAGGCTGATGTGAGGAACTCTGAAATCTCACAAATGACTATCGCCCTGCATATGCATCCCTGTCATCATGAAGTGCTTCGGGAGGCTGGTCATGGCCTACATCAAGGTCAGCATGCCGGGCACACTGGACCCACTTCAATTTGCCTACTGCTTCAACAGATCCACAGAAGATGCCATTTCCATCGCTATTCACACAGCCCTAACACATCTGGACAAGATGAACACCTATGTGAGAATGCTGTTCATTGACTACAGCTCAGCATGCAACACTATTGTTCCCTCCAAGGACTTCCTGACGGGCAGACCATAGGCTGTGAGGATTGATAACAACACCTCCTCCACACTGACTCTTAACACAAGGGCCCCCCAGGGGTGTGTCCTCTGCCCTCTGCTGTACTCCCTGTTCACCCACGACTGCGTGGCTTTGCACGACACCAACTCCAAGTTTGCTGAAGAAACCACGATTGTAAGCCTGATGACCAACAACGAGTCAGTCTATAGGGAGGATGTAATCGAACTGGCATTGTGGGACAGCAACCTCTTCCCCCAACGTCAGCAGAACAAAATACTTGATTGTTGACTTCAGGAAGCAGAGGAGGGAACACACCTCGATCCACATCAACGAGACTGCGGTAGTTTTAAGTTCCTCTGCATCTACATCACAGACCATGGACCAACACCACCACTCTTGTCAAGAGGGTGCAACAGCACCTCTACTTCCTAAGGCGGCTGAAGAAATTTGTCATGCCACCTCGGGTCCTCTCCAAATACTACCACTGCACCATCGAGAGCATCTTGATCAGTTGCATCACAGCCTGGTACTGGAATTGCTCCGTCCACGACTGCAAGGCCCTGCAGCAGGTGGTGAAGATGACCCAGTATATCACTCGGGCTGTGTTTCTACCCATCCAGGACATCTACTTGAAACGGTGCCTGAGGAAGTCCCGAAGCATCATTAAGTCCCCACACACCCCAGCCACGAGCTGTTCACTCCCTTACTGTCGGGAAGACAGTTTCTACAACAGTTCCTATCTACAAGACATCAGACTTCGCGGTGTAGAGGCATTTTTAAGGCACTTTTCTGCAATTCTACACTTCTCCATGGACTTGAGATGCATGTTTGCAGTTTTAAAGCAAATTTCCTGCGGTTATACATATTCTGCCATTTTGAGAGAAACATTTGCAGTTTTAAAACTAATTTCCTGCAATACTATGCATTTTGCCATGGCTAATGCTGTGTTTTTTTGCTCAAACATAATAACAAAATTAAAGGGAAACTTTGGGATTTTGTCAATGAGGTCCTTTTATCTACTTCCCCAGAGATTGGAATTTGCATAGGCTGTGGGTGGCTTTTGACAACTTATTTGGGATTCCTCATGTCTTACTCATTAGTAGGTTAAAGTTTGGTCCAAATCGGATGTTGGGTACTACAGTACCAGTCAAAAGTTTGGACACCTACTCGTTCAAGGGTTTTTCTTTATTTGTACTATTTTCTACATTGTAGAATAATAGTGAAGACATCAAAACTATGAAATAACACACATGAAATCATGTGGTAACCAAAAAGCTCTTAAACAAATCAAAATGTTATATTTGAGATTCTTCAAAGTAGCCACCCTTTGCCTTGAAGACGGTTTTGCACACTCTTGGCATTCTCTCAACCAGCATCATGAGGAATGCTTTTCCAACAGTCTTGAAGGAGTTCCCACATATGCTGAGCACTTGTTGGCCGCTTCTCCTTCAATCTGCAGTCCAACTCATCCCAAACCTTCTCAATTGGGTTGAGGTCGGGTGTTGTGGAGGCCTGGTCATCTGATGCAGCACTCCATCACTCTCCTTCTTGGTAAAATAGCCCTTACACAGCCTGGAGGTGTGTTTTGG